GTGAGTTTGATGGAGTGTGTATGTGTGTTTGAATAGTGTTGCAGAATGATTTTGGCCCTGCCCACTCTTTGGCCCCACTTACTTTGATCTTTGGTCCCACCCACCACTGGCATGCCGTGCTGGAATGTTATCTACAAGAGGGAAGGTTTCCTATTCCTGTTTCCCTGAGCCCAACACAGGTCCTAAATTTATTCTGGTGATTCCCTAACTCTCTAGAACAGGTTAGGGGGAGGGGAGAATCTGTGGTGAGGAAAGATGGAAAAGTCCCATTGCACAAGCAGACAACTTGATTGACTTCAGCCCATTGAAAACACCAAATTATTAAATGAACACTTTTGCAAAATTTCATCTCAGACTTTGAGTTTCACTGAATTCCTTTGTTTCCAATTAATACATCAGCCCAAAGGGAAATGAAATGGCTACCAGCCATTGAGCTCAATCACCTGTTCAATTAAGCCCATTGAAACTGATGGGAATCAGCTTAAAATCCATGTATCATCAGAACATTTTGTTCCATTTGTCATTGGGCTGATTGCTTCTTGGAAAAGGATTGTAAGAACTGCAAAGCACAACATGGAAATACCATGCGGGAAATATGGTGACTACCTTGGTGTGTAATCAAAACAGCTATAACAGTTACTTGGGGGTGCATGGTGGGACTATGTGCTGCTCCTGAGCTGGAGAAGCGTTGGTGATTCATCTCTGAAGATCTGAAACAATTTTGAGGTGAATGTCACCACCCTGGGTTTGGTTGTGTTAAGGATGAATGGAGATATCTCCACACCAAGGGTTCTTATACAAGAGCAAGAACAGCTGGCAGCAGCACGAGAGATAAGAGGTTGTGAGCCTTTCCTTTGCTCCGCTGTTGGAGAACTTCATTTCACAGACATCACAGAACCTGAAGCGGAAGAAGACTGACATTTTGAATCCTGAGAACAACAGCAGCAGAGCTGTATATGCTTTGGGGTAGAGATATAAACATGCACATCCTAAACCAGGAAAAGGGATCTGTGTATGGAAAGAGTTTTTGACACACACTTCTTTCCTAGTCAAGATGGAAAGGGCTGCAACTGAGAGAACAAATCCTACCCCTAATGCTTGGAGTATTCACATAGTGATGTCTTCATTGGCTGAACCATGTGAATATCAGGGCCAGACATACCATAAGACAACATGAGGCAGCCTTCTCAGGCAATGGATGCTGGTGGGGGTGGCAGGAGTGGACAGCAATGTCCTTTGCCTCAGATAGTAAAATGCCCTGGTGGGTTTTCTTATTGTATTGGCCTTGTCACTATTACGCTCACCTCAGTTTAGTATACAGCAGGTCGCATGAGTTAATAATTATTAGGAGAGCTTCGGTCTTGGGGCACTTTTAAAAGCATCTGCAATAAGTGAGGTACTAATAATGGAAGGGAAAAGTTATTCTCAACAAAACATTCATGCTAATGGATGACACCCCCCATCATGAAATCAACCACTTCTTAAATAGCTTTACCACCACAGCCTGTCCATAGGGACCACACATTACAGTCTTGTCAGTCACAAGGACAACTGATTGAAACAGCTTCTGCATATCAGCTTCTCCACATGACAGGGATAAGATATAGTGCACTTGGAAAACTTCCACGTCACTGGCAAAGTTTCCTGCTGATGGCGGCATGGAGATTCTCTGTATCATCTGGATTAGATTCAGAGATGTCCCTCCACAAACTGGAGGTGTATTTTACCCACAGAAGGGGTTTTTTCTTACTTACTTGAAGATCCTCACAAATGAAAACTGATATCCACAGGTGTGCTTCTGTTTGCACCATCTCTCTTGGGGAAGGTCAAGATGCTTGCTAGCACAGCTTAATCGCTTACACAACATCATGCAATGTATTCCGCTAGATCAAGGGTAGTCGGAGGCAGTGTCTTCTGAACATCAGCTGCTGGAAACCAAAGGAGGACATAGTGTTCTTGGGCTCAGGTCTAGCTTGTGGGTTTCCCAAAGGCATCTGGGTGGCCACAGTGACAACAGGATTCTGGACCAGCTGGGCCACTGGCCTGATACAGCAGGCTTTTATGTTCTTATGTAGAGGGAGCCAACATGGAGCCCTTCAAATGTTCTTGAACTCCAACTCCCATCAGCCCTCTCCAGCATGGCCAGTGGGCAAGGATTATGGGGCAGCATCATGTTGACTTCCCCTGTGTTAGAATTGCAAGAACCCCTTCCTCTAGCTGCTAGTACATCCTCTGAGTGGCAAATTGCACTACACAGTAATCCTCTAAGACCCTCCAACTGACCTGAAAATACCAAGATCATCACAAAACCCCTTAAGCCATCATGGCTTCTCACTTTTTCCCAAATTCCCATCAGCACAGCATCCCTTCAGCATGACGTCAGATCCAAGCATCTCTCTTACCCATTTCTTATATCTATGTTTCCCGCAACCTTTCCTCCACCACCCAACACTCAATATGATGTCACTTCCTGTTTTTATGGGGGGGGGGAGTCTGGGTCACTTCAATGTCCCTAAGAAACTTTTTCACTTTCCCCACTCCTCAGTCAGCCAGTCTCCCATAAAGAAAGTGGTGGGTTGGAGAGTGAAGGGGGCAGGGTCACTGTGAGGTCACTGCCATAGCTGTGAGGGGTGCTGAGGGGTCATGGGTGTTGAACAGCAGCTACTATGGTCACTTGGTTCTAGCTTGCTTCGTTCAGCTGCTACATCTGTGTCCCTGCACCAGCCTCTGAGGAAGAGGTGTGGGGTGGGAATGGGGGTCACTGATGTCCCTAGGTCCCTGTTTACACCTGAGGAATATTGGAAGGTATGAACCTGCTGTGTACAGAAGCCACAAGGCAGGAGTTGTTTCACTTTTCCTCCATGAGACTTGCATAGTGTGGAACCTGGTTGCCTTTCCCCCATCTTTTTGTCAATTACTTGGCTACACAAATAATGGTTATCCATTTTTGAGATGCAGGAATATGAAGTGGCATTATCACGTTAGCTAATAAGATTTAACCATTTCAGTGCCAGGCAGTGTTACTTAATAAAATGATCATCGGCGTAGGAGAATAAAGTGCAACTTCCTAATCTTCAACCCCCGATATCCGACTCTGGTTACCCATGCTTTGCCACTGATCTCCCTCTGTTTCCTTTCCTTCTATATGTTTAAAACAGGAATTCTACGCTGACCCTCCAGGGATTAGTTAATTAATGTTGATTAAAAACATGAGCCTTGGCTGAGCTAAATCACATGCAAATTTAATACTCAGTAGATAAGGAGGGGGAAAGAACTCTCAGAAATAATTTAGTCAGTGTTTAGAAAAGAAATGAAAGTAAATTTCTCAGTGTCAGGGCAAGAAGAGGAAGAAATATTGGAAGAAAGCTTTATGATGACTACTCTAGCAAAGCAGCAGCTTCCATTAAAAATAACAGCTTGCATCACGCTGTGTGTTTGTGTGTGCTTGAGAGAGGGGGGAATGTTGGGAGTGCTTTTGTTCAATTTACTAAATAGCTAAACAGATTAATATGGAGCCGATGCATTAATCATATTAACAACAGACATGTATATAGACTGCTGAGGCACCCCTGACTTGTTCCTTATGTGTCATGAATGATTGACGCAGTGACAACCCAGTGCAGCCTTCTGTCACAGCTCATAGCAGATCGCTCTGCCTGACTTCCCTATAGGGATATACAGAACACACACTTAGACTGGCAATGGCAATATTTTAAGGCTGGGACACTGATGCATAAACTAGAACAGAAGTATATTTGCAGGACCCATCTCTGCATCTTTCAAGCAACAACTCTAGGAACAAAGTCTATCACTCACCATGGCAAATGGAGACTGTTTTTGTCCGGAAAACCCTTCTTATCCTAAGATGGTCTCAGTTATTCCATACCCAGTGCACAACCCATGAAGAGAGGCAGCAAAATATCTTCCAGTCAGGTTGTGGCAGACATGTAGTAGGACTAGCCTCAGGTTCATAAGTTGGCTATGCAATGCTTCTCTTCATGTGATGGAGAAGGAACACACACACCCCATACTCCATGTGGATGACCTCATGTATCTCAAATGTTGTTGTTATTTTATTATTATTATTATTATTATTATTATTATTATTATATTATCATTATTATTATTACAGTGGTACCTTGGGTTACAGACGCTTCAGGTTACAGACTCCGCTAACCCAGAAATAGTACCTCGGGTTAAGAACTTTGCTTCAGGATGAGAACAGAAATCGTGCGGCGGTGGCGCGGTGGCAGTGGGAGGCCCCATTAGCTAAAGTGGTACCTCAGATTAAGAACCGTTTCAGGTTAAGAACGGACCTCCAGAGCGAATTAAGTTCTTAACCCAAGGTACCACTGTATTATTATTATTATTATTATTATTTATTTATTTATTTATTTATTTATTTATTTTTATTATTTATATACTGCCCTATACCCGGGGGTCTCAGGGCAGTTAAAGCTTCAGGTTCTTATGATTCTTCCTAATACCCTCCACCACAGGATATATTGAGACTATTTTAACTGCGGAAAAGATGCTGACATCCCAGCATGACAGAAAGAAACAGCAGAGGGGGCGGGGGACGGATGGATGGGTTTTGAGTACAAAAATGAGCCTTAATTTTGCAAGGCAAAATTCCTACGGGAACACAAATTTGTTAACCTGTTTGCTTAGGACAAGCACTCAGTGTAATTTTAGGGCCTTTCAATCAAGGCTGTCTGAAACACCTGCAAAGGAAAGATAGCAGCCCGGCTAATAGTAACAGCATCTTATTCTCTGCACATACTGTGTATGTTTTTCCTTTCCTTGTATAATGCATTGGTGGAATCAGCAAGCTGATTCTTCTGCAGGCTTTGTCACTCCCCCCCTCCACCACCCCGCTAAATTTTCACACACACAAATTGCCTGCCAGCATGATGGGGTTGGGTAGAAAGCCTGAAAATCGCAGGGACCCAGGGAGAGAGTTGGTACTGGCCTTAGAAAGGAACAACACAAATTTACTCTTGGCTCGGTTGGTTAGAGCATGGTGCTGATAACACCAGGGTTGCAGGTTCAAGGCTGCATATTCCTGCGTTGCAGGGGGTTGGACTAGATGATATTCGGGGGTACCTTCCAACTCTACGATTCCATGTTTCTATGACAGAAAGGAAAGGGATTCACTCAGACAGTGGCCTCAGTGGTCAGAAGATAAATTGCCCAGATAAGCGGAGATGGACATTGTGGAATCAACAATACATAATCCCCTGCTGACTCCATGTGCTACTCTACAAGTAACACTGGTGTAGAGAGGCTGTGGAGAAGCTGCTATGATAAGGGTGGGTAGACCTTATGCTTTTGGAATTTGATTTGTTTTTTAAACTAGAACCTTGAGAATCACCATCCTGTCTTGCCAGTTAGCTCAGTTGGTTAGAGTGTGGCACTGATAATGCCACGGTCACAGGTTTGATCCCTGTATGGATGGATATTTCTACATTGCATGATCCATTGGGTCCCTTGCAACTCTATCCTTCTATTATTCAACCAGGTTTTTAAAAGTGACACTTTGAATTAAATAATAATATATAATAATAATTTATTACTTATACCCCGTTCCTCTGGCTGGGTTTCCCCAGCCACTCTGGGCGGCTTCCAACAAGAGATTAAAAATACATTAAAACATCAGTCATTAAAAACTTCCCTAAACAGGGCTGCCTTCAGATGTCTTCTAAATGTCAGATAGTTTTTTTATTTCTTTGACATCTGATGGGAGGGCATTCCACAGGGCGGGCACCAATAATGTTGAGCCCAGGAATTTGTTTTGAGTTTTGAGTACCAGAGTCAAATGGAGTCCATGGACTTTATACACAAAAACATCAAGCTTTCTTCATTTCAGCAGTATAATTTAGGGTGGAGGGGAGAGGGGAGTTTTATTTCTGCTATTGACTGGGAGACACAAATTCTTGCCAATCTACTGCAAATCACCTCAAGATTTACACATTTTTGTCTACTTGAAGAAGCCATGGTCCGATCTGAAAAATACAAATATGTAGGATACAAAACTATAAAAATAAAGAAAAATTAAGTTTGCAAAACAATAATCACCATGTGGTTAGGGTAGATTAACGTGTCAGTGTCCACTTATCCACAGTGTAAATACGACATATTGGCAAAAGTCGGAAATTGAAAGATAACTACGTATAGCATGTACACGAAAATCGATTTCAGATTTGAAATCAGCATTGAAAGAACATATAAGAACAGTTGAAAAATCTCATGCAACAGAAAATGAAGAGGAAAAAAAATTGTTCCCCAGTGATCAGTTGATCCAGATCTTCCTTCTAACCAGACTCTGGTGTAAGAGCGCTCTGTGTGCCATCATTGCATCTTCTGGAGCAGACTATACATGCCTTGAAAATCTTGGTCCTATTTTTAAACCTTGACAAGCAGGACAGCTGCAGAAGTGGCTAATTCACACCCAACACAGAGGACTTTGTTATTCACAAAGTACCAGCCACCAGGAAAGGGCAATCAGATATATGCCTCTGGGAAGGAGACTTTACAAATGCATAGATGCAGAGCCACTGATGTTTATTTGCGGGGGGGGGGGGCAGGAATCAATGATGTTTTGTGGTTTAGTTGAGATCAGGGGCTGGCCTACTCTCTTGCTAATTGTGTTTTAATTTATTGGGCATGTTCTTACAGAAGGGATTAAAAACTTACACGCCTTCTGAAAATTGGTGTGAAATATTGCACATCATCATTGTAAAAAACCAAGGTCTGTTCATAAATGTAGGCTTTTATTCCTCAATATGCAGACTCTTCACGCTGCTGATAACTGGCTTTGAAGCAGCACTTCAGCCTTCAGAGATGTCAAGGGCACATCTCAAACTGCCCATAGCTGGCTCTGATCTATCTCCTCCTGTGAAGTCTTAACAGAGGGGTTTATGTAGGAAACCTGAATAAAGAAATAATGTCATTGGCAATTAGGAGAAGCAGATTAGCTTTCCATGAATGAATTTTGGATCACAGCAACATTTCACATTTTTTATAAGCTAGTAACTCAATTCCCCAGTCAATGTAAGCAAGTGAAGCTTTGCCTGGAGTGCAAATATATACACAAAACCACTTTTTTCGGTCTTAAACATGGGGCAATTTGCTTTACCTCTGTAAATATTTATCCTTCTGCTTTGTGTTGTTATTTATATATCCTTTCCTCTGCTCTTTTGTATTTAAAGTGGTCTTTTTTGGTCCTACAGTTGCAATTTTTTTGCTTCATTTTATTCTATCTTTAATGTCACTGTGATTGTTTTAACTTGTTTTTATCTTGTAAACCACCCAGAGAACTTCCATGACAGAGTGTCCTATGAACAGTACAAATAGACAAATAATATCCCTTGACACACCCATGTTAAATCTACATTTCCCTATTTCGGATACACGTTTACCTGCAGTGCAGTGAACAGGGATCTGTCATCGTTTTTGCCCTTGGAGTCTAGCAGGCAAAGAACTAGATTAGTTATCTAAAACCACAGCACAATTCAGCAAGATTTCAATAGCTGGCCAGACCAAAGAACTCAAACCAAAACTGCATCCAGCGAGTAGCTAAATGCAAATATATACAAACAGTATATTTCCCCCCACATTTTTCTCTAATCTTGCTAGAGTGATTTCCAAAACTGAGCCTATGTTTTCATTGTGGGTTTTGTTTGTTTTGTTTTGTTTTGGCAGTCACTTCAAATCCCTCTTTAACAGTGCTACCTAACACATTATTGTCCATGTGTTTTCCACTCGGTGGCAAAGTCTGAGAAAGATGCACATTAATTCATAATTAAATAACACAGCTAGCCTTTTAACAGGCAAACTGAACAGTCGGTGTAAGCAATCATTGCATTTGTATATTGTCCTGGAAGCTGCACCTAATACAAAATGCAGTGGCTCAACTGTGTCTTTCTTTTCTTTTCTTCTTTTTTGGAGCAATGTCACAACACTCCTGAAAAAATTGCACTGGCTGCCAATTAGCTAGCTAAGATTAAGGACCTGGTGCAGAAAGCTCTATATTACTGTAAATGGCTATTGTGTTGTTTAATTATGTTGTCCTTGTATTCCAAACTCTCTATTCTGTTTTTAATTATCATAATCATGATGTACTGTTGGTAATTCCACTAGACTGAACTTAGTTTATTCATATGACCAATGTGACATGTGTGTGTCCAAAAAAGAATCTAAAACCAAAACACACTTATGACAAAAACAACTAAAGCTTCTTATACCATGTCTGCTCATCTGTCGCTTGTTGATTGCATTTCTGTCACACTTTATAAGTTCTCAAAACACCTTGCAGCAATACCTCATATAGTCTGGTACCTTTTCCTTTTAATAAATTTTTTATTAATAATAATAATAATAATTTTTTATTTATACCCCGCCCTCCCCAGCCAAGGCCGGGCTCAGAGCGACTTACAAGCAATAATAAAAACAAAATGAATGATTACAACTTAAAAACAAAAATAAAATACAACATTAAAATAATGGAACATTAAAATATTAAAATGTAGCCTCATCGCAGGAGGAGAAGGAAAAGAAAAAAGAAAGAGAGGGAAGGAGGGAATCAAATTGGCTCCAAGCCAAAGGCCAGGCGGAACAACTCTGTCTTACAGGCCCTGCGGAAAGAAATCAGATCCTGCAGGGCCCTGGTCTCATGAGGCAGAGCGTTCCACCAGGCCGGAGCCAGAGTTGAAAAGGCCCTGGCTCTGGTTGAAGCCAATCTAACTTCCTTAGGGCCTGGGACCACTAGGGTGTTGTTATTTATGGACCTTGAGGCTCTCTGTGGGGCATACCAGGAGAGGCGGTCCCGTAGGTACGAGGGTCCTAGGCCATGAAGGGCTTTAAAGGTCAAAAGCAGCACCTTAAATCTGACCGTGTACTCCACCGGGAGCCAGTGCAGCTTGAAAAGCACTGGGTGAATATGCTCCCAGGGCAGAGACCCCGTGAGGAGCCTCGCTGCAGCATTCTGCACCCGCTGGAGTTTCTGGGACAGCTTCAAGGGCAGCCCCGCGTAGAGCGAATTACAGTAGTCAAGCCTGGAGATGACCGTCGCATGGATCACTGTGGCCAGGGCGGGGCGGGAAAGGTAAGGGACCAACTGCTTGATGCAGCGAAGGTGGAAAAATGTCGCCTTGGCTGTTGCTGTAACCTGCGCCTCCATGGAAAGGGAGGCGTCAAGGATTACACCCAAACTCTTAACGGAAGGCAATGGCACTAATTGGGCCCCGCAAGAGAAGGGAGTTGGTCCTCATCCCCATGCCATCCCGACCTAGCCATAGGACCTCTGTCTTCGAAGGATTTAGTTTCAATCGGCTCCCACGAAACCATCCAGCCACAGCTTCCAAGCATCTGGTCAGTGTGTTCGGGGCCGAGTCAGTGTGGCCATCCATCAACAGATAGAGCTGAGTGTCATCAGCATATTGGTGACAGCCCAGCCCAAAGCTCCAGATAATCTGGGCAAGGGGGCGCATAAAGATGTTAAAAAGCATCAGGGAGAGGATTGCGCCCTGCGGCACTCCACACACCAAGGAGTGGCGCGACAACATCTCCCTCCCTAGTGCCACCCTCTGTCTTCGACCAGAGATAAAAGAGCACAACCAGTTACGGGCTATGCCCTGTATCCCCACGTCTGCGAGGCGGTGGTCCAGAAGATCATGATCGACCATGTCAAAGGCTGCTGACAAATCTAAAAGGATCAGCAGTCCTGACCCGCCTTGATCCAGTTGTCTACGGAGATCATCTGTTAGGGCAACCAGAGCCGTCTCCATCCCAAAACCAGGACGGAAACCAGACTGAAATGGATCTAATGCCGATGTTTCCTCCAGAAACCTACCAAGCTGTTCAGCAACCGCTCTCTCAATTACCTTACCCAGGTATGGAAGATTTGAAACTGGGCGGTAATTGGATAGGTCTAAGGGATCTAATGAAGTTTTCTTTAAGAGTGGACACACCACTGCTTCCTTCAGTTCCCCTGGGAATGTCCCCATGTCAAGGGACAAATTGATAATTTCAACCAGGGGGGGTCCATGCAACATCTGGACACTCCCTAATCAGCCAAGACGGGCACAGATCAAGGAGGCAGGTGGTGGGCCTACCAACTTGGAGGAATCTATCCACATCAGTAGGGAGTATCCGATCGAAATGGTCCAACACTGGACCTGAAGTCAGTCGAGGGGCCTCCAGTTCAGTCACTGTATCTAAATTGGCAGGGAGGTCACGGTGGAGCAACAGGACTTTCTCTGCAAAAAAGCTCGCGAATGCCTCACAGCTGTGGGTCGAATTTGTGCTTAAATTTGGTTGTCCTCCTAAGGACGTTATTGACCTAATTATTCTAAAAAGTTGTGCCGGGCGAGAGCTAGCGGATGCAATGGAAGCTGCAAAGTAAGATTTCTTAGCAGCTTTCATAGCCATCTCATAGGCTTTCATTAGCAGATTTAACAATGGTGAAAAGAAAATGAAAAAAAAGCAAAGGAGAGGGAATAAATAAATAATGTCATCAGCTCAAATTAAGGATACCAGAACTTTCATCTTAAATTAAATATGTAAGTTGATAAAAGCCACCCAGATGTCCACATTGGTATCCACCTGAGATTGACATTCATAGGAAATATGTTCTAATGTGTGGGACACGGGTGGCGCTGTGGGTTAAACCACAGAGCCTAGGACTTACCGATCAGAAGGTCAGCAGTTGAAATCCCCGCGACGGCGTGAGCTTCCATTGCTCGGTCCCTGCTCCTGCCCACCTAGCAGTTCGAAAGCCCGTCAAAGTGCAAGTAGATAAATAGGTACCACTCTGGCAGGAAGGTAAACAGCGTTTCTGTGCGCTGCTATGGTTCACCAGAAGCGGTTTAGTCATGCTGGCCACATGACCCGGAAGCTGTACGCCGGCTCCCTTGGCCTATAAAGCGAGATGAGCGCCGCAACCCCAGAGTTGGCCACGGCTGGACCTAATGGTCAGGGGTCCCCTTTACCCTTTACCTATGTTCTAATGTAGCAAGGACAGTGAGGTCCTCAGACCATTGCGTAACAGACAGTGCTTATCTTTCCATGCTCAAAGCTGGGGTTGCCATATGTCCAGGAAAACCCGGACATGTCCTCTTTTGGGGGACAACATGCCCATCCAGGCAGATTTTTACATTTTAATAGAAATTTCTGTGTTTTTTGGGCTGGGGCTACTATGAAAAGAGGTGCGTCAACAGCCCTGTGCAGCCGCACACCCCTTTCCCCGGCTCTGACTGGCAGTGGCTCAGGCTGTCCTCTTTTTTGCTCCTTAAGATATGGTAACCCTATCAAAGTACAAGTCTGTTAGGGAGCCCAAGGGTAAAATCCACCTTAGTCCACTACTGGCTTCAACTGCTCTCTTTGATGGTACCAGTAGGGAGGCAAATGCTGAACTAGGAATGGACATGGAGTGCAGAATGAACTCACAAAAATCCGTATTTGTTGACAGATCCTGAAGGTAGGGGTGAAATCTACATGTCTTGACACCCCAATTTTTGGCAATTCATCTCCCACTATTGCAGTCTTGAACCTGGCCCGCAAAACCCAGGCCAGAGCTCTTGTTGGTTCAGATGGTGCCTGAAAGTCTAGGAGTTAAAACCAACCCTTGTCCATAGAAGCCATCACCTCTCCTGTCATCCCACCCAATCAGAGCCAAGAGAATCTCAGGCTGTACAACAAACATCTTTAAGATCCCAAGAATCAAGAGTTCAAAGTACCACTCTCTGCTTCTGAGGTCTCAAGCAGAAAACCAAATTATACAGTAGCAGGCCAAGGGCCTGGTTTAGTACTGAGGCTTAATCCAAGGAAACATCAGACTGGAAACAGAGGTTTTATTAACAATAAACAGGGTAGCAGCATAGAATGGAACCTGTTTACCAGTAGGAGAACAGAACAGGGAAAACATGGTTAAGGATACAAGCTAATCCAGTCTAATACATTGCTAACCATTAAAGACCCTACAAAAGGTACCAGTGAGGAAGGTATGGAACAAAAAGCGAATATGGGTAACTTTGTGGCTTAGCAACCAGCACGGGTCTTCAACAACTAGTCATCTAGACTGTAACTTTCCAGAACAGACAGTCTCTGAGTGTACATGTGACTACAAAGCTGTGGAATTTTCCCAGCTAGCTAACTGGCCATCTTCAGCCAAGACAAAACAACACACAGGTGCAAGCCATGAGAACACTTGGCAATTAGCCAAGCAAGAAACAGCTTCCTCATGAGTTCAGCTCTTTACCCAGAAGTCTAAGCTCCCATTAGAACCATCCTTGGAGGGCAAGGCCTAGCAGAAGAACTAGGCTTCTTGACAACTGCCTTCTCAAAAGCCAACACCACAGGTAAGGGGGCTTGATTCCATCTTTGCACCTCCTAGTTTACAGAGGACAGTCCTCTTTTCCATGGGCTGTCTAGACCGAGTCTGATTTAATGATAAAATACCATTAGGAAGGGAGAGCAGGATGGGCGTTGAGCTTGCCTACTTGCGGTTAGCAACTGGAAAGCAAGACAGAGTAGGCAGGCAAGCAGGTCACTTTCCCCCACTATAATGAGATGCATTCTGTTTTTATTTAAATTGCCATGGTTATTTCTCAATGTGCATTTAAATTAGCATCTACAAATTTTGAACAAACCTCAGGCCTCTTATGCATGTGTGATGCATTTCTGCTGCTGCAGCAGCAGTATGTCCACCAACCTCTGCAATTTGAGCACTGATGGTGCAGGTCTGATTATTGCAAAATGAAGATTCTGCAGATATATTTAAAATGCAGGGATATCCAGAACATTTGATTTACTGGGCCATTTTATGCATGTCTTGGTAGAAGTCTCCTTGAGTTCAATGGCACTTATTCCCACTAAAGCACACCTAGGACTGCAGTCTCAGCCCATCATTTTGGGTCTCTTATTCAAAGAATTTACCATGAATGGCTTATGCATGCAGTTTGCTCTCTGGTCCGTCCCCTCCCTTCCCTTGCATTCATTATGAAACAGATGGGGGGGGGATGTTACCATATTTAGGCACGTAACTCCTATCGACTCCCCCCCCCATTTTGAGTTTCTGAGCGATAGCAGGTAAATATGAAAATTGTATAAAACTGCATCGTTTCGGAGAGTTGTTTTTGTTTTTTGCTGCGTGGTCCTCAGGTGGCCAACTCAGCAACTAATCACCATTCAAGCTTCTGGTGTGTCGCCTGCTGTGTAAGAAGAATTCAGCGGACGTGAGATTCATTCATTGATTCATTCATTCATTCATTGAAGCCGGGGTGTGGGGGGAGTGGATCTTAAAGGGAGAGGAGGCGACAAAGCGAAGCTGGGGAAATACGGGCAGAGCGAATAAAGACATTTAAGCGAAGGTGCCGGGCGAGAAAAAAAGACCATTTGGAGAAGGCAGTTAAAAGTATGCTCCATTGACAACTAAGCGCAGGGAAGAGTTAACCGCATCCTCCTGGTTAAGTTTACATGTAAATAGTGAGCAGCTGCTCCGCTCCGGCTCCGGCTGGCCCACTCGTGCCTTTGATTGGCTGCCAATGACATCACTCCCTCCGCTGCTTCTGACACAGGACCCGAAGCAGCGGCGGGCGAGCCATCCCTTAAGAGTTGCGTGGCTCCTCCCCCTTGCCCACCCGCCGCCAATCCCGAGCATCTCCGCGAGGGGGGGCTCGAGCAGCTCCTCCCGGAGAGCCCCTATTGGGGGAGCGCGCTGTCTATCCCTCCCCCGGCCACGCCCTTTTCGAACCTTACATTTACTGTGTAGCAAAAGAGAAAGTAAGTATGTTGCTGGTGGAGATCAATGAAGCCGAGTGAATGGGGGCTTAATGCGTAAATCGATAGCCACAGACGAGCGCCGGGTGCTGGAGGGAAATATTTCTTTATGAAGTAAGTGGGAGACTTCGGTTCCTTACGGAGAGGAGCGGTTGTGGTGCGTAGGTCGACCGCGTAGCGTCTCCTAGAATAAATCTGCCCTGTCTTGGGGAAGAGAGAGAGATGCCTGTTTGGAAACAAACTGGGAAATGCGAAAAAATGTTGGGGAGCAATGGGAACTAGCACTGTTATCCGTCCCCGCGCCGGTCTGCGCTTGGAGCCCGCCGACTTGCGTGCGTTTCGCCGACTGGATTGTCAGAAACGGAGGCTTTTCTCGTCCGGGATTGCTGCAGTATCTAGGGGGGTAGGGGGGGGTCGGAGTGCAGAAGAGGCTCTCCGGAGCAGCATCTCTTGTAGCGCTTCTCTTCCTCCCCCCCTCCTTTTTACGCCTGTTCTGTAAAACGCCTCCCCCCTCCGTGAGGTCCTGAACCAGCTCCGGATCGGTGAGCGTGAAAAGGTGCCTCAATTTGGCTGGGCTCTTTTAACTCCCAAGTCTGACTTCATGGCTTGGCTGGAAATATATTACCTTTGCTGCAGAGATGCAGAGCTCCCCAAATATCTTTGCCATCCTAAGGCAAACAGGGTTCCCTTAGCCGGTCTCCAAATACTTTATTAGTTTCTTTTTTTAAAAAAAAATCCAAACATTAAAAAACCAAACTCAAACATAACGTTACTGGTCTCGCACGTGATTTGGTTACTAAACTAACCCCTTGTTTTCTCTTTTTGTAAAAAAGAAAAAGGGTACTATTTCCCTTCTCCCGATCCTTGCTTCTCTTATTTCTCAGGAATGCATGGTGTTGTGTTGTTTTTCTCTGTACATTTATTTGTTGCTCTTCACAAATAGAAGGTGGGGAAAGGAAACTTGTTTTCTATATATTACATTTCCTCTCCCTTTATTTAATTCATGTTTTCTGCTTCCCCATAGTTGATAAATGGTATTTCCTCTGGTCACAATTTAAGACCATTCTGCAAATACTTCTCTCTCTCTCCATTCATCCTCAGGAGGAGATAGATGGGGTTTTTATGTTTTCTGGTTTCTTATCCTAGGATAGTGACCCATCCTAATGGAAAGTGTGTGTATTGGGGTTTTGAGGGGGTAGGACATAGTTAGATTATAGAAACAGATAGCAGAATGTAGGGAAGGGAATTCACATTTTTAAAAAGTATTCTTGAATTGAGTTAAATTGTGTTCTTCTTTGACTGGAGGCACCACACGTTTCCACATGACTGTCCTTAATTTTGTGTCATCCTGTACTTCGTCCAGTTTAAGCAAGCTTAGTAAAAAAATTTAAAATCCCTTTTTGAGTCAAATGGGAGTTCTTGATAAGTATGCTTATGCTTTCAGCCTTAAAAGATGCTGAGAGGGTGATGTAATAACTTTTTTTTAAAAGTGAGTGTCATTTGACTGACCTCAATTGGACTCTGCCAAATGTCAACGTAATTGGTCATTAAATGAATGTTATAAAACCAATATATATTATGAACTTGCTTGCGGGTGGGAGTTGCAGGGAACTCTGAATTTAGGACAGTGGATCATCTCAGTCTGTCCCTCCTTGTGTTATGGTAGTGATAACTAAGGTATAAGAGCAGGAAGGTTGGGACCTGAATTCTTTGATATTCCAGGCCTGTCATTTTATGAGGAGTGTGCTAGTATCTGAATAAATGGCAGTTCCAGAATAGCAGTTCTGCTCATAAGGGATGCATGGCAGCCTCTGTTTCTTATCTCTCATTTCTTTTCAGTATGTGTTCAGATTACTGGCGAACTTCTCTCTCCCCCCCTTTTGGTGGATTTTTACAGGAAGCCAACAGTATTGAAAACTGTGTGCTAGGAGGGAGTTAGAACATCACCTCAGGCCAGATTTGGCTGCCCTGCATTATTGACAATTGTTAACATCACACTGGTCGCTTCTGTCTATTTCTAATTTGCAGAAGGGAGGATAGAGTAAGGGCAGGTCCTTTTCCACAATGAGCTTCCTTCCCTTGGAGCAAGAAAGCCTTGGGTACATGATGGTAGCTGCTCTGCAAATACCTTTTGGTGTTTGGCCTATGTAATGTGGACTATTTAGGTTAGTCTTCATCGGGCCTGAATATTCTCAAAACATAGATAAAGCATCAACATTCTGCACCAAGTTAACCTAATTTCTGTAGCAGAAGAAGAAAATGATTCAATGTGCATATCAATTAAAATTTGCATAAATTATGCCAATTAAGATTTGCACAATCTCCCGTTTTTTCCATTATTTATTATATCATCTTTTACCACTTTTCCAAATCCCTCCATCCTTACAGGGCGCAGAAGCCCTCTACTCCCTGGGAGGCTTATTTAGCAGCTTCTCTGCTTTCTGATACTGACCCCTTACAGCCCTTAATATATTTTTTAGCAATAAGGACTATAAAATAGCCTTCTAATGTAAGTGCAGGCTGAGATGCTGAAGCTGAATTCTGTTAGTGACCAGCAAGCATTTATTGTGCACCCCCACAACTGCAGCAGACTCGCAATCCTGGGTTGGAGGCAGCCAATGTGTGGCAGTTTCTGCCATGGCATAAAGGTTGGGATAGATAATTTCCCAGCTTCTTACAGTTTTATGGTTCCATGTTTGGTGAATGTGTGCCTTTTAGAATGGCTCTCCCCTTGTTCTATGAAAAACAAAGCATTTGATCAACAATATTTAGAGCATTGCTATCCGGGAATAATGATGGAACTCTTGTGTGTTGCGAGATACTTTCTTATTGTTATTTTATTTCCCTCCCCCTTTTAACAGAGAGCTTGAGTTCCTTTTGACTTGCCATTCTCAGCTTCCTCATGCCTCCATCTCCACTAGACGACAGGGTAGTAGTGGCACTCTCCAGGCCCGTCCGACCTCAGGATCTCAACCTTTGCTTAGATTCCAGCTATCTGGATTCTGCCTCTTCTGCCAGCGAGAGCCACGTGAGTCTCCTCAGCACAGCTGTTGTGTCCCTCAAGGCTGCGAATCTGACGTATATGCCCTCATCCAACGGCTCTGCTCGCTCCTTGAGTTGTGGATGCAGCAGTGCCAGTTGCTGCACTGTGGCAACGTACGACAAAGACAATCAGGCCCAGACTCAAGCCAGCACCAGCAGCACTTCTGCCAACGTAGGAACCTCGACCACGTGCCCTGCTAACCAAATGGTCAACAACAATGAGAACTCTGGCCCGTTGAGTCCCTCCAGCGGCGTAGGGAGCCCAGTCTCGGGCCCAACCAAGCAGTTGCCTAGTGTCAAAATCATCTATCCCAATGAACTGGCAAAGAAGATGACCAAATGCAGCAAGAGCCACCAAGGGCCGGTCATCATCGATTGCCGGCCCTTCATGGAATACAACAAGAGCCACATCCAAGGAGCTGTCCACATCAATTGCTCGGACAAGATCAGCCGGCGAAGGCTTCAGCAGGGCAAGATTACCGTCTTGGACTTGATCTCTTGCCGGGAAGGCAAGGACTCCTTCAAGAGGATCTTTTCCAAAGAAATAGTTGTTTATGACGAGAATACCAATGAGCCAAGCAGAGTCATACCTTCGCAGCCATTGCACATAGTGCTGGAGTCTCTCAAGCGAGAAGGCAAGGAGCCACTGGTTCTCAAAGGTATTTATGACCCATATTCTGCTGCCTTTCTTCTCTCCTTTTCTAGGGATGCGGCGATTTGCCAGGCCACTGGGAAGGCAAAGCTCTGCATGTTCTTGTGGAGATAGTTCATGATCTCTTGATGCAGGAGGACTTGAAAAAGGAAGGATGTGGTCTTGGTACCTTTTTCCATTTCTTAATATGGTTGTGAGGTTAAGGTTAATCCAAAGGCTAGCGGACGGAGTGCCTTTCCTTGGGATTAATGCTCACAATGTGGTATGCAAACTTCTAGGTTTTGCGGGATTTATCCTGGGCTTGATAATTTTCCTAATAGAGATTGGAGAGGCATTTGGTTAAGCCTGTTGTATATTTTCTTTCAGTCTTAATGGTGGTAACTGTTAGAACCATGCCTTCTTCAACAGCTGGTGGGTTATGTGGAGGCGCATTAGCCTACAGAAGCAAATGAGGACATCCTTTTTGGAAATGAGAAAAAACCCTAAAGAATCAGCAACTGTCCTTGGCACTTAAACTCTCAGGTCCCTTGCAAAAAAAACACCCGATAACTTTCATGTTAGCAAAGCTGGAGATGAATGTTGGGAAATGTTCTGGGTCCAGAATAATTAGAAGGCAAATTCGGTAGCATCAGTGAATCTAGGGGCAGGAGTAGAGCTTGACCTTGACGAGAACTACACTGAAGACTGATGAGTCTCTTGTTAGCCGCTTCACAGCATGAGCTCAAAGAGGAAGAAGGGCAAGTGACTGAAACTTCCTGCTTCCTTGTTTCCTTTTGAACATGGAAGTGGAAAGCTCTGAAAGCTATGGGGCCCAGGTAGCTTATGGAGATCATGCGTCTTGAAGCTAGTAAGATGAGTTCTGCTCACTGTGCTGTGGAGGTAGTGCAAGTCAACTACAGTTCCTTTTTTTGCCACTTTCTAGTAACATATGAAATAGTCAGAGTGACTTTGAAATCGAATGATGGAACAGAGTTCCTAAAAGGTAATATAGTTGAGATGGCCCGCTTATGGAAATGGTTATTGATCTTATTGGCCCAGCAACCTGAACACATTTACAGTACATAGCTATGAAGCTTCATTAATGCAATGGAATTGTGAATGTGTGTTTAGGATTGCCTATTTATGGGCTTAGTGTTGTGTTGGACAACACTGGTAACTACTACAGTAAACTGTTACCAGTAATTAAAGTAATTGTGTGCCTTTTTTGTGTGTTCATGTATTAACTAGAACTAATTAGCATCCATGTTTTACTTTAGTGAGCCATGAAGGTTAGCTATGACTTTGCGTGTGCATACAGCAACCGAGAACTGCATTAATCTATTGACAGAATATGGTTTTAGACAAAGGTCATGCAATAAAACAAGGTCATTGTGACTGAGAAACTTAACCACTAGAACGTCATTTGCAGGAATAGGTGATCATAGATCCAGTGGCTAGAGTTATGGTCACCAGTGTGGCACTTGAGGGATCAATGGTGCCTTTGAGGACATCTCCTGTTGCTTCTGAGCCCCTCCTTGCTGACCCCTTTGTAATGAGTTGGTGAGGGCAGCGTACCTTTTTCTTTCCTTTGAAAAGTGCATAGAACTGAAGGAGGAAGTTTAAAGAAGAAATGTTCTCTACTTCCTCTTTCAGATCAATATGCTTCTCAAAACTTAGATTATTACATGAGCTGCTGAAAAGAAAGTATAGTGAGTAAGGGGGTAGACAGGATAGCGGGAAGAAGAGGGTGCCACAAGATTTGGAAGACAGACTGGAGAGAGAGAGAGAGAGAGAGAAGGTTGTGGTGGGGCCCATACTCATACCACCACATGATCCTCATGAAATTGCATAATTTGTAAAGGGTTCCTCCCTGCATCAGATCATATCTGTCTTTTGACTGAAGGTAAAAGACTCAGTACTGCCATGTTTATTTTTATGTCTGTTTTAAATGATCTTATCTATTACACATTTTTTAATTATGTACACCATACAGACTTTGGTAATTAAGTATATAAGTAGCCTAAATAAATGATGTGAAAACATGGGTCTGAGGCACAGATGGTATGATGCTCATAATTTTGCAAAGGTTCCCCTCAAAGCTAGAACCAAATCATAGGTCACATCTGTGTCCACAGATGTGTTCTGTGATTTGGTGGTTTTGTTGTCATCCTGTGTACAAATCATGATCTGTGCCTTGCGTCAATGTATTTGTGGTGCTGGCAAGCACCTAAGCAAATTTTTGTACAGCAGTCTACCAGTGTAAGCTTTAATTTGGTGATGTTTCGGAGGACCTGCCATAAATTCATGCAAATTCTGTAAAATCCATTTTAATTCTACTGGATCCAGCTTTTACCCAGACCTCATGGGAAAAGCAAATAATCTATATGTGTGTGTTGGCTTTCTCTCTTTTTGTCAGGGTGGTGGATGTGATCCAGGGAAAAGGGGGAGGGAGAATCAACGAGAGAGGGTAGTTTCCATAGCACACCTCTCAAAATTCCAGAATATGTCCACAAACCCCCAAAAGGTTGGCAACTGCTGGACTAGATAATCAATAAACTAGAAGCTGAAAATTTGATTCACCCGATGGTCTCAGCATTCTTTAGGGAGAAGCCACAGTTTCTTGGCAGAGCACATGTTGGCATTAGGGAGGTCCCAGATCCAACCACCAGCATCTCTCTTTAAAGCAGGGTTGGGGAACCTGTGGCCCTGCAGATGTTGTGGGCTACAACATGCACCAACCCTGACTGCTGCACATGCTGGCTGGGGCTGATGGGAGTTGGAGTTATAATCCTTGTGGGAACCAATGAATTGTGAGCACAATATCGGAATAGGAAGATTCTGGTTTAAATTCCCACTCAGTAATGATACTCCCAGGGTGACCTTGGGCCAGTCACTATCTTAGGATCTGACTCATCTCACTCAGAACCATGTATGCTACCATGACTTCATAGCAGAAAAGTTGGGATTTGAATATAATAATTTATTTTAATTCATTAATGGGGAGAAAAAGCAATAGGTCCTTTAATGAAAACCACAACCTCCAGCTTCTGACTTGCTTTGATTTTAGTCAAAAGTATGAAGGCCGACCTGTAGAAGTAGGCAATCACAAAGGTAGGGGGCACAGCATCATTTCCCCTGTAATGTGAGCGCTGCATCACACACTGGGGAAGAACTTTACTTGGTGGTAAAGTGCATGATTTGCTTGCAAAAGGTCTGGCATCCAATCCCTGGCATCTCCAGGTAGGCCTTGGGAAGACCTTGGCCTGAGATCTTGGAGAGATGCAACCAGGCAGAGCAGACAATATTCAGCTAGATGGACCAGTTTTCAATTACTTGCCCTGCCCTGCCTTCTGGAGGAATATGCATAGGCTCAGCATAAGTCGGAAGGGGTGCGGGGAAGAACTGGTGAGGTGGCTTTGTTACAGATGAAGCCTGACTGTTGCATTCACTGAAAAGAAGTGGGATGGTATTCTGCACCACTTTAAGCGCTAATAAATGGGTGGTGATAAACAGGTGCTTAACAGACAGCTTAATCTCTTGGAGGACATGGTTGCACTTACTGTTAAGTTGTGGTTTGTGTTTGCACACAATATAGTCTAACAGCCAGCAGTAAACTTTGCAAGTAACACCACTCTCCTTATGTTCTGAAGACCTACCAAATTAAGTCCATCATGCAGATATTTTAAATAATATAATAATGATTTTTTTATTTATACCCAGCCCATCTGGCTGGGTTTCCCCAGCCACTCTGGGTGGCTTAAAGCACATAAAAAATGTAAAACGTTAGACATTAAAAACTTCCCAATACAGGGTTGCCTTCAGATGTCTTCTAAAAGTCAGATCGTTGTTTATTTTCTTGACATCTAATGGGAGGGCGTTCCACAGGGTAGGCACCACTGTGAGAAGCCCCTCTACCTGGTTTCCTGTAACCTCGCTTCTCACAGTGAGGGAACCTCCAGAAGGCCCTCGGAGCTGGACCTCCGTGTCTGGGCTGAACTATGTCCCCATCATTTCCACCTTGAGTTCCATGATAGTAGAAAGGTGGGGTATAAATGTACTAAACAGATAAACAACATGAAGAAGGTATACCTGGAATGTAAATTGTAGTGATAATTGCTGAAACTTATATTTACACCCCATTTGGGCCTCCTGCCCTCGTACAGACTCATGAAATCCTTTGTATCACCTAAGAAAATTCTACTCAAAGTGGTGACCTGTTTTTAGGCTATGCTTCTGTTATAATGATATATTGTTTGGTGTTTTAGACTCTATGCCACTTAGAGGTTTCTGAAACATTAAGTGGTGCATGAATGTTTTTAAATGGTTACGGTTAGTTACTGTATTTGTGTATAAAACCAACATGTGAAGAGAGGGACTGAGTAGCTGCACCCTTGAGTAGCTCCTCCTCCTGGTGTCCATACATACAGTGTGACTGTCTTCAGTGACACAGCTTTGCATCCATATTCCATATGCACAAAGACTTCTATGCACTTCATCTGGAGCACAGAGCCACCAGCAGGATGGGCTCCTTTGCACAGGTAGACATCTGGAGTGAAGCTACTTGGGATTTAGATATGTTTTAGATGTGAATATCATCTGAGTAGCACAATAATAACAGTTTATTGTCCTATGTGCACCTTTAGCTTATGTTGAATCACTAAGACTATTGAGAACAGAGATTATAGAGAAATAATCCATCTCAAATTACCGTCTCTGCTAGCAATCTTGAGTCTATAGGAATTGTGAAAGGACACACACACAGACACAAATTCAAAAATCCATGACTTAGTGCACTGCTGGAATTCTGCCTTAACTATTAGAAAACTGGGGTCCAATAGAACAGTGAATATGTCTATGTGATGGCTGAAATATGACAGGTAGTCCTTAGGAATGAGGTCCCCAGAGTTTCAAAGGCTTAGGTTGCCTCTTAGTCCTTGATTGCATCATTTGGGAGGGAAAAGAATCCTCACAATGTCACCCAGCAAACGCTGTTCTGGCCCTGCTCTGAAGCTGGGAGTTTTAAAATTAGCCAAAAGCACTTAGCCGCTTGATCTAAAGAAGCTTTAGAAGAAAAGATTAATTTTTTCCTCCCCTTCTGCCAGCTAGGAAAAATTGTGGGTAGAGATCAAGGGATTAATGCTGCAGGTTTTTTTTTACTTAACGGTGGCCAGAAAAAAGAGTGAGCAGGAAAGGGAGCGATGGCCACATCTCCATATGCTCTTTTTAAAGCAGCAGTGCTTAAAGGCGAGGACAACAAACGAAAAGCCCCTTTCTCATCCCTGCCTTGTTTGGAAGTGTGATCTGGACCGATGAGACATAATAAGGCTCTGCTTCAGCATCTGTGCTTGCAGTGTGGCCAGAGAGGTGTTTGTTATTCAATTTCACTTGTCGGATGGAATTTTTTCCATCATGCTTCAGTAGCTCTTAATGTCCTGCATGTGATGCAATTTTTGTTTTTAGAGTTTGAACTAAAACTGAAGCTGGGCTCTAAAGCCCCTCTTGCTTTTAATGTTGAGTGAGGCTCTTGCCTTGACTGCGATCCAGTCATAATTTATGGCTGGCCCATCTGATCTTCCCAGTTTATGTTTGTAAACATTGGTTGCTAACTGCCCCATCCAAGTTTGTCCCGCCCCCCCTCCCCACATCCACTGATCCAGTGCCATGTTCTCCATGTTTGGTGCTGCCTGTCAAGCAGGCAGCTCTCTGCTGCCATTTCAGTGGTACAGTGTCACACAGAGGAGAAACTGATCAGAGGGCCCTGGCCCCTAGGGATTAAATTACAGGCTTAATTTACAGCTCTGGCTGGTGACCTCGATCAAATATATATTCCTGTTCTAGACGTCTAGTGCCTTTTTTTTTGCTGGTGCTCTGTGATGTGCAGAAATGTGACAATTCCAATAGAAGGCCAGGCTGCCCTTTTGTTAAAATACAGTTGAAATGTGTCCACTGGAATATAGATTTGAAAACACTGGTTCGGTTTCATTACATTTCTAGCTTGTTCTCCCTGTGTCTCTCTGTATGGCGTGTGCTGGCTGGTGGGAATTGTATTCCTAGCAATATGCATAGGGCCACTAGATTAGCTACTCTTTCTCTATGGATCTCAGGTTAGCCAATTCTCTCCCATGATATGATGATCTAGGTTAGTCTTTGAGGTAGTGGTTGCCTCCTAGAGAGTCCATAACTGAGCAGGGGTTTGAACGTGGATCTCCTCATCTTAAATATGAACTGGAGCCTTGGTCCCATGCTTTATACAGTGAGACTTTCTAACAGGGTTTTGAAGGAGAAAAAATACATTAAAGCACTCTTTACATTAAAGCTTGTGCATGCATTATAATGAGTAGATATGAAGTGGCCCTGATTCAAGGGAGTCGTGTTTATGCAAGAGACTTGTGCCTGCAGAGGAGATGATTTTGTTGCTAAAGCTGAGAACCACTGTTTACCCATCACCTCTGCCGGGTGAAATGCAGCACTGAAAAGGGCTAATAGTCATCTGCTTTGTTGTTGTATTTATTACCCACCCTTCATGCTCGTATGGTGGGTTACAATATTTAAAATTCAGAATTAAAAAAAACAGTTAAAACAACGAACAGGGTGGGTCTTCCTGAAACACTTATCTTACACGTGTCAAAGGCCAGAATAAAGGGCCATATCTTCATCATCATTCACTGAAAGCCACACACAGTAATGAGGAAGCCAGACTCACCTCTATGGGGAGGGAATTCCACAACTCAGGGACTGCCATAGAGAATGCCACCTCCCACCCCAAACTTCAGAGGGAGGCAGAACTATCAAGAGGACCCCCTCTACTGATCTTAATGCCAGAGGGACCATAGGGGAAGAAGGGATATTTCAGATATTTTGGGACCAAAGTCATTTAGGGCTTTGAAAACGTACACAAGCACTTTGAATTGGGCCTAGAAATGAACTGGCAGCCAATGCAGTTACTGTACTTTAGAACAGGGATTATGAGAGTTCTAAAGGCAACTTCAGCCAGTAGTCTGGCCACTGCATTTTGGACCAGGTGATGTTTCTGAGTTGTCTTCAAGGGCAGCCCTGCATAAAGTGCACTGCAATAATCCAGTCTGGAAGTTAGCAGAGTATGGAGCACCATGGCCATGTGTTCTTTGCAGCCGGACTGCAGTTCTTAAGAGTTAAGTGACGTGTTGACCAGTAGGCCACTGCAAGTACCATGAATGGCTCACAGCTGCTTCTTAAAACAGAAATAACAAATTTGTCTTGAGGCTGAACCTTTCCCAACATGGTGCCTTCCAGTTGCTGTTGGACTCCAACTTCATCAGCCCCGGCCAACATGACCTGTGGTCAAGGATGATGGAAGTTGTAGTCCAAAATATCTGTAGGGCACCTGGTGGGCAAAGCTGCTATACTATAATACAATGGCAGTGACCTTGGGACAGGTGTTATAGATGGACACACTCTTTCCTATCAAATGGATAATTTATGCTGATATTTTCAGGTGAGCCCTCTCTCCCTCCTCCAGTGCACCTTGTTCTGAAATTCTTCATTGTCACGCCTGACACTTATCCTTTCTCTCTTGCTCCAAAGGCGTTTGGAATGTTCCTGAGACGTTAGCTATGGAATGTTTTTTTTTTTTAATCCATGGTTAGTTTTTGTTTCTGACTTGTAAATTACAAGCTTTGATAGAGAGTGACCCCTTCATAACAGAGAGTGAATGGTGGTTGAGAATCCCAAGCTAGCCTGCTGCAATTTTGGACGGACTCAGCTGTGCTCCATGCAGTTTCTCCTGCATTTGGCTTCTTAGTTTGATGTGCGCAGTCTTCCTCCTCGGTCCCTTTAAGAAGATACCTATCATGTGACTCTTCTAACCAAAAAACCGTTTCTCGAGCGGATTCCTTTCTTTGAACATCATGTTTTTCTTCCTGCAGCTCCTGATACAGAACTGAGAACAGCCTATGGTGCGATATTTGCGAAATGACAACTCTCTTTGAGCAAAGCTTCGCTTTCGTAGCAATTTTTGGAAGGGTTGTCATCCCCAAAGACAAGTAGATGACTCACACTTGGTGTTACTGAGGTGGCTTAGTGAGATTGTACTACTGAGATCATGTTCTACAAACTTTCAGAGCTGTATTGACCTAAAAGCAGTTGCAATGCAGATGTAATATTTGCTAATCTCTTACCACGGTTAAGGGACTGGTGCACTCCTCTCTCGGATGACAAAACTTGCCGCTCTTCATTTGTCAGCCTTAACTGTGGTTAGTGTTTAACATTTGCATGAGTGCTAATCTGTGGCCAATACGATTTGGAGCTGGCCTTTAATTAGGTTGGGGTAGGGCTCTCAGTGGTAGGGCAACTGTTTTACATGCAGAAAGTCCCAAGTTCATTCCCTGGCATCTCCAGGTAGGACTGGGAATGTCTCTTGTCTGAGAACCTGGAGAATTGCTGCTAGTCAGTGTTGGCAGGTTTGCCAATCTAACTTGTATAGCTTCCTGGGTTTTGTAAACCCTGATTAAGAGGCATCCCAGTAGGTCTTTACAATGGTTAGGGTGGGTGTTAAATTGGGTTTAAATGAGCAATGAAGGAAATGAGGCATTTGTGCTGGAAAGTGGAGGGGGCAATGTTGGAGGGGTGTTGCAGGATCAGAGCAATGAGAGGCAAATAATTCTGGCTACGGGGTTCTGGAGAATGTTTGCTCATGCAGTCTTCTGCTCATTTAGAGAAAGAATGGAATTATAGTATTAATGGATTGGGAGGGGGCTGTTTTTATACAAGCAGGGACCCTGTGCAAGGCTAGCTTCTTAATCTAAGGGTCCAGAATTTCCATAAGGGAAGCTTGCGAATTACTAGACACAGCACAGTCTTTTTGTGAGAGAATGGAAAGCATAATGGATGAAAAAGTCCTGGAAAGCTCATAAATAATCTATCTTATGCTCTTTCCTAGAAGCTGGCAGGTACAGGTGTTGGCAGACCTTGCTGTGTAACACATTGCTACAATTTCAGTGGCCCCTGAATGGATAATATATTAAGTGTTCTCTGCACTGTCCCTTTAAATCCAGCACAGGCGGTGTCCTCCCATTTTTCTAGGAGGCCTGTCTGTAGAACTCTGCCAAGGAGCTATTACTCAGCCTGATAGGCTACTGTTGAACCTTGACTACTAGAGTCTGAATCCAGCAGGCAAGGCTCAGCAGTCAGCATGACATGTCAGTGGATGTGGAGGAGAAGCAAAGGTGACCATAGGCTCCCCCCCCCCATTGTCAGAATCTGAGCAGGGCTGTGGTAGAGCTCATGCTCTGCATGCGGAAGGTCCCTAGTTCGATTCCAGGCACCTGGGAAGACGTTGTCTAAAACCCTGGAGAGCTGCCATCAGTCAATGGGGACAACACAGGAATTGATGACCTGGGATGCGGATGGCTCTGTGGTCTAAAGCACTGAGCCTCTTGGGCTTGCTGATCGGAAGGTCGGTGGTTCAAATCTCTGCGACGGAGTGAGCTCCTGTTGTTCTCTCCCAGCTCCTGCCAGCCTAGCAGTTTGAAAGCATGCCAGTGCAAGTACAGTGGTACCTCGGGTTACAGACGCTTCAGGTTACAGACTCTGCTAACCCAGAAATAGTACCTTGAGTTAAGAACTTTGCTTCAGGATGAGAACAGAAAATGTGCAGCGGCGGCAGCAGGAGGCCCCACTAGCTAAAGCGGTACCTCAGGTTAAGAACAGTTTCAGGTTAAGAACAGACCTCCAGAACGAATTAAGTTCTTAACCCGAGATAGGACTGTAGATAAATAGGGACTGCTGCGGCAGAAAGGTAAACTGTGTTTCCGTCCACTCTGGTTTCTGCCATGGTGTCCCGTTGCACCAGAAGCTGTTAAGTCATGCTGGCCACATGACCCGGAAAGCTGTCTGTGGACAAACACCGGCTTCCTCAGCCTGAAAGCACAATGAGCCACAACCCCATAGTTACCTTTGACTGGACTTAACTGTCCAGGGGTCCTTTACCTTCACCTTTTTACCTATAAGGCAACTTTTGAAGTTCCATAGTCCCATGGTCCCTGCTTATAGGAGCCACATGGCATGAATGCAGCACCTAGTTAAACCATGGAACTGGTTAGCCAACACATTTCGTGCTTGCAGGATTCCCATAGACATCTTGGTTGGCTGGACTAGATGGGACACTGACCTGACCCAGCAGGCTCCTGTTATGTTCTTAATTACCAGGGTTAGGCCATTATCTGAGCCTACCCTGATGACCCCTTTAAAACTTGTCCACATCTGCCCTGTAGTAAAGCTGTCCATGCTACTTGTAAGGATGCTAGAAGGTGACCACACTACTGTAAGGAGCTCTCTGCAGGACAGTCTTGCTAGTGTCAGCCTGAGTGAGAATCAGAGAATTGTAGAGTTGGAAGGGACTATGAGGGTCATCAAACTCCTGCAATGCAGGAACCTTTTGCCCACCATGGGTCTCAAACCCACAACCCTGAGATTAATAATCTCATGTTCTACCAACTGAGCTATCCAGTCAATTATTTTCTCTACATCCCTAAATTTTGGATTCTCTGTAAAATGGGCTAGAACTCCACTCCCCGCTTCAGCATGTAATCACTTGGTTGAGCTACTTCCTAGTTAAAGAGATGCCAATATTTACACAAAGGCATCTTGGGGATGTGTGTGCCATGTTCCTCCCCACAGGAGCACTCATCATGCTCTATCGTGCGCTTTCTCATGTCCTGCCAGGATTTTCCATCAAAGTTCTTGTTGGCTGTTCTCTCCAGCTTTTAGGCCTTTGCCAGGTTTGTTCATATAAATAGCTTTGCCAGGAGCATTCGTTTTCTTCCACTGGACATTTGATTGCTTCTTTCAATTTTAAATGAATTATACTTTTGAAATGGCTTTCGAAATGCACATTCGAAATTAAAAATGGTGTGTGAGTGCCATTTTTATTCTTAAACCTTCATTGTGTTTTCAGAATAAGTGAAGATTGAGAAGCAGAGATCAAGACAGTCCCCCTGACTTGGGCAAGGCCATTTGTTGTGTGTGTCAGAACTGATTACATTGTTTTTGGCATTTCATAAGAACAGCTTCCTGGATCAGGCCACTGGCCCATCTAGGCCAGCATCCTGTTCTCACAGTGGCCAACCAGATGCTTGTGGGAAACTGGTAAGCAGGACCCAAGCACAAGAGCAGTCGTCCCTCCTGTGGTTTCCAGCAATTGTCATTCAGAAACATTACTGCTTCTGACTATAGAGGCAGAGTAGAGCCATCGTGGCTAGTAGCCACTGATAGCCTTATCCTCCATGAATTTGTCTGGTCCTTTTTTAATGCCATCCAAACTGGTGGCCATCAATGTTTTTATCATCCTTGGTTTTAGTGTTGGAAACTCAGATACAGTGGAACCTTGGGTTGCGAACGTAATCCGTGCGGGAGGCGTGTTCACAACCCCCAGCGTTCGCAACCGCAAGTGCTGTGTCTGCGCACATGCGGGTCGCAATTCGGTGCTTCTACGCATGCACAAAGCACAATTTAGCACTTCTGCACGAGCGCCGAAACCTGGAAGTAACCCATTCCGGTACTTCTGGGTTTGGCGCGGTGCGCAACCCGAAAACGCATAACCTGAAGCGTCTGTAACCCGAGGTACCACTGTATATATAAGCCATGCACCAAATGGCTCCTTAAACCAAGGTTGCAGTCACCAAAACGGAATGTCTAGTTGGAATTTAGGGGCAAGAGAGTTCTAAAGTCTTATTTTTCAAATGATGGACTGACTGAGATTATCAGTTTAACATCTGGCTAGTTCAGATGACAACCTTGAGCTAGGTTAAGAACTCTAATAACTTAAAGAAGAAAAGTCACTTGACCCACTTGACAGTCCACATATCTATAGGCCTATTCTGACCTCTGCTCAGGCTGCACAGAAATAATAATTAATAATTCATAATTTTATTATTTGTACCCCGCCCACTTGACTGGGTTGCCGCAGCCACTCTGGGCGGCTTCCAGCATATATAAAAACATAGTAAAACATTTTGGTTCCAGAAATTCATTCCAATTGTGCAGATAAAATATAACCGGTAGAATTCTACAGAATGGGGTATTAGTGTGCGAAAACAGTCCAGATCCAGTGGTTCCCAGGCAGGCACCTCCAGATGGTGGAGATGTCAGGTGCCATCCTGGAGCCCAGGCATATTCACTTGGTCACAAGTGGTCGAAAGCCAAGTGTAAAATACACCTGGCTAATTTCAAACACTGCTTGGTTCACTATTCAAATGGAATACGTACTTGGTCCCCTTTTATGCTCATCTTGAGAAAAACAGGCAGTTTGATGTAGGAAGTCTGGGAGTTAAAACTGAAATTGATGATCAGGGGAATCACATGCTATAGCCCTTGGACTGTACTATTTCAGACTGAGAGTAGGCGAGTACGCATCAATGCTCCTTAAGAACTACTGAGCGAGCAGTAGGCTCAAATACCATCTGATTGGTTTTCCTCACTGTATATCTCCAGGAGTGAAGAAGCCAGGGGATGGCTTCCTGCTGAGAGCTGAGCAAACAGGGTGAGGGCCTGGAATATCCCTGAAGGGCCCTGCCTCCCCTGTGGTGACAGCCCTGCTTCCAGACAACAACAATTCCATTTTAGTGTTAGCGTTGGCTGGGATCCAGGGCCACATAACGAATAAAGGGTAGAATTATTATATGGGCAAAGTAACTCTCTTCCCCTCCCCAGCTTTAGTCACAAGCCTTTTGAGAAATGCTGGAGAAGGAGAACACAGATAACATTGCAGCTGAAGGAAGGGCACACTTGGGATTGCCAACTTTTGGCCGGCCGCTGCTCTTGTACTTCATCTGTAGACTTTAGGAGGTGGTGATGCTCTGTTCCTTGCTGTAAAAAAAGCTGACTTCTGCATCACAGTTGTTGTAAACATGGTTCTTTTTCATTAAACCTGCGGCTTAAGTAAAATGAGCATTCTCTACCTTTCACAGGGTTTCAGATCTCTAAATCCACCCAAGGAGATTCTTACGTCGCCCCTCTTCCAAATCGCTGAATGTTGCCCTTTGTGTTGTCTTAATGCTCACATAATCCCCCACATGACAGCGCCAGCTGCTGATTTTGTTTCGGAACGAGGGCTGCAATGAAGGGCAAACAGTCAGTGTTGCATTAGATACCAATACCCGGCTGGCTGGATGAAGGAGCGAATCAGCACTAAAATCCCCAAATGGGCAGATTAATATTTCATACAAGTCCCTTTCTGAGTGCTCAGTGCAGACACGTGTGCTGACTAAGTCTGTGCAAAGTGATAAAGCACCTTCAGCTTATGTAAAAAATGAGGCACATGCTTTAATGCCTTGCTCTTTTGGATTTCCTCTCCACTGTTTCACTTCAAATCAGAGTCTAATGTAAATATTCCAGAGTCGAAGCACATAGACATTTATGTTCTGTATAGGTAATTTTCAGAGAATATGCTTTTGAATCACAGAATAGGGAGATCCCAGGGGTCATCTAGTCTACAATTCAGAGATCTCAACTAAAGCACCCAGGACAGATGGCCACCCAACCTCTGCTTAAAAGGAAGGAGAGTTCACAACTTCCCGAGGGAGACTGTTCCTTAACATTCCCCCATCATCCAAGGAAAGTATATTTCTGTGAAAAGGGTAAGGATCCTGAAAATGTAGCGATGGGCAAAAAGCCCAGGGCTTCCTCTGCAAAATATATAGGCCTTTGAACAATTTGGTTGCATGCAGAACTGCTCCAAGGTAGAGATGGTAGACTTGTGGCCCTCCAAATGTTTTGGGGCTACAGTTCCCAGCGCCCTCAGCCAGCATGGCCAATGGTTGGGGGAAACGTGAGTTATAGCCCAACGACAACTGGAAGGGCCACATAGGATCGTAGAATTGGAAGAAACCACAAGGTCTTTTTCCCAACGTGGGGCTCAAACCCGCGACCCTGAGGTTAAGAGTCTCACACTCGACCAACTGAGCTATGCAGCATCCTCAGGTTTGTCCTTCTTTGCAATGGAGGGGGAAATCACCTTGGTGAAAGGGAATAAGGTAACAGATGCAGAGGGTTCAGGGTGTGAGCACAATGGAGGTGGCAGGCCTTTCTGTTCTTATATTCTGCATGCGAAAGATCATGCAGAGGTTCTCACATTGGAATCCCTGTTTCAATCCGCCACTCCGTCATTGTAATGATTAACTCTATAGGGAATAGGCTCCAATCCTGCTAAAGTTAGGCAGAAAATCACAGCTGGGCAGAAAGGAAGAGCAGGACAGGGCTGTCGTCCTTGGTTCCTACCTCTTTGGGCTTCCCAGGAACATCTGGCTGATCACTATGGAAATGTGGTCTGGAATAGATAGACTTTTGTTCTGATCCAGCAGAGAGCTCTTTAGTGGGAATTAGATATCTTTGGCAGTGATAATAAGTTTTCCTTCCTGGGGAGAAAAATCCTGTGCAAATTAGGCTAATTTGCATAGGGTAATTTGCATGGGTTCCCCCCCCCATGCCCTGGAGAGTGACCTAGTTTAGCATGTTTGTTTAACATGCATTTTGTAAACAAAGCTTAGAAACATTGAAGCCACCAAGCTTGTCTAATACTGTATTTTCAGTTGGTGCCCCTCCATTTTCTGCCCCACTCCTCATCACGGATGGTGGGCAAAATGAGCCGCTGTGAGTTCTTCCTCCAAGAATGTCCACATGGCCTCATTATTGGTTTGTTCCAAACCAGAGGACAGGTCTGGGCCACAGTCTAAAATTCATCATGGACGAATGAGGGAGACAGGTAAGTATACAGGCAGCCCCCCTCTTTTTATGTGTGCAACTGCACATACACACATTGCACCAAACCAGGAAGTGACCCAAAAATGTCACCAAAAGGAGGGCAGGGCAGAGACAAAATGGAGGGTTTGCAGGCTTTTCAAATATACAGGATTTCACTGATGCACGTGGTGCCTTGAAATGTAACACCTGCGTAAATGGGGCCTGTGTGCCTGTATGCATTTATTCTACTTCCACATGCTTGCGCTTGGTTTGTATGGCTATGGGGAGTCTGTTCCCTAGTCTCCATGGGAAAGGCGGGTCTTGAGGAGGAATTTGATGAAAGGAGGATATGGTACCATGTAGGTGCACTAGAAGTAGTGAGAAGGGTGGGGTGTAGTTCAGTTCACATTTAAAGGTGAACCTACTTGATTTGCACTTCTGGAAATGATGCATGGGCCAAAACAGAGCCACCCTTGGAAATTTGCACCTCTCTGAACTTTGAAATGCCGTTCTTCCTCTAAGTCAGGTGTGGGGAACTGTTGGCTTTCAAGATGTTGCTGAACATAATCCCCAGCCAGCATGGTCAATGGCCCGGGATGATGGGAGTTGCAGCTCAGCAGCATCTGAAGGGCCAAAGGTTCTGCACACCAGATCTAGGTGGTGTGTTCAAAAATGGAAAAATGAGCAATATAACACCATTAAGACATGGCAGTTAATAACTGGATCAAAATTAAAATGTGTTGATACTTCCTTGAAAAGTCACTAATGACAGGGCCGTGTGCATTTCATGAGAAAACATATTCTATAAATATGGAGCCACAGTTAAAAAGGCCTTGTACCCATCAGCCCTAACCCCCTTTTATTGATGGATGTGTGCAGGGCTTCTGAAACTGGTTGTAGAGTTTGCACAGATGCATATGGGAGCTGGTAGTCAAAACTAGAGCAATATGCTCTGATGTTTGATTCCCACAAGCATTCTTCCTGCTGCACTCTGTACCAGTTTGGAGTTTTAGACGTCTCTCTAAAGGCAGTCGCATGTAAAGCATATTGCAAGATTCTAGTGCACGCATTCTTAAAAGTGTCCATCCTTATTAGCCATATGGGATCAGCGGGCTTGGGAGAACCCTAGGATTTGCAGGAGCAGAAAAACATTGGGGAGGGAATCCTAAGGGTTGGGTGTAGAAGGAGGATGACCCAAAATTAGCCTGAGCATGCTCTGTGAGTGCAAAATTCTGACTGCTGGAGCAAAAAACTAGGAGGGTGTAGAAATCAAAGGGAGTGTTTTTGGAAAAGGCATGGCTGGCTAAAACAGTGAGCAGGAATACTCCACACTGCATTTTGTTGTCTGTTTTGCTTAAGGGGGCAAATCTCAATCTTTTTTCTTGTGTTTCATTTCTCTTAGTTAAACTTTGATTAGATCAAGCCCCCTGAACTGCCTTTCCTCTGAAATTCTCTCCATCTGAGAGCAATTTCTTTAATTTGGTGGTCCAGATTTAAGATGCGGTGACACCTCTCTAGCACACCAGAGTACTACAGTGGTACCTCGGTTTACAAACTTAATCCGTTCCGGAAGTCTGTTCTTAAACCAAAGCCATTCTTAAACCGAGGCAAGCTTTCCCTAATGAGGCCTCCTGCTGCCGGTGGCCTTCCACCATTCGGCTTCTGTTCGTAGACCGAGGTAAAGTTTGCTAACCGGAACACTACTTCCGGTTTTGTGGAGTTCGTATACCGAATAGTTCATAAACAGGGCTGTTCTTAAACCGAGGTACCACTGTATTACTCAGTATTTGATGCTGTAAAGTTAGAGTGTCCTAGTCTCTGATATTGCTCTATTATCGGCAGAGTATTTTGTTTCGCTTAGAGGGGTGTGAACTCTTCCCTGGCAGGAAATACCTTTGATCTTAACTGAAGTATTAGATCTTTTCCCAGAAATTGCTACAGATGTTTCATTTCAGAGGAGCCTCCAAATTTGGCTCCAGTCTTGCTTCAGGGGAAATTCTGTGGCATTTATAGTTCTCTGTTGCTTTAATCAGCCTGTGGGTTCCTTGAGCCCAGTGGACAAACAAAAACAAATATCTAGTTGTTCTCTACAGTGACTCGAGTTAGAAAGAGAGGTCTCCTTTAATCTAGAGAAAAGGTTTTCTGAGACCTAGTTAGATATTACATGCTAACATATTTGTTGCATCTGCTGACTTGAAGAGAGGGGAACAAATCTGTAACGACTTCCAGAGGGACAACCATGTTCAGCTGTTGCAAGCAGGATCGAAGGATCTGTCAGTTTCTTCACTTATATCATTTCTCAAATCTTGAATTTGGTTCGCCACTTTTCTGCATCAGTTTGTTAAGTCTTTAATAAGAATTCATTACTTTAGTCTGCATTTCTCCTAACAGGACACATTTTTGAATGTAGAATCATAGAGTTGGAAGGGACCTCAAGGGTCAGGTAGTGTCCCCGGTTTACTGCTTTTTTTGCATATTTGATTTTTCACAAATAAATGCATTTTTTTTACATACACATTTCCCTAATATGCACAGTGTATATACATTAGTTGGAGAATTGCATCACAAAAATTGGAGGATTGTGAAGATCGATGCAATTTGGTTTGCACATTCTTATGGGATGTGTAAATTAGAGCCATTAATGAATTAAAACGGAAACCAAACCAAGTTTCTCCCCGCACACCCCCCACTATAGCAGAGGGTCTTGTAGCAACTTAAAGCCTACCAAATTTATTATGGCATACGCTTTTGTAGACTACAGTCCACTTCATCTTACATGTTAATCAGGAATTGCAGGTCTACACACACACACACACACACACACACACACACACAAATTTGGGGGACTGTAAACAGAGGTTGGAAAGAAATGAATGAGAGAGAAATTTCCTCCTGCTTTTCTTTAATTCGAAGCATTTTTAGCATTGTATACTCCTCACAGTAAATTACTAATATAGCTATAACAACTCCACCATTAATATTCAACATTGTAAACAATACAAAATCATACTGAGATCAGTTTACAGTGTAGAGGGGTTGTTAACCTTCCAGAATAAAAACGTCATCTTAAAAGTATGAGGTTGGGCATTCATGGGCTTTATTGGGGGAAATTATTTCAGACTGCTGCTACTCCAGAATATCCATCATCCTGTTCTGTATGAAAGAAATTTCCTGGAATTGTTTCTTCCATTTCTCCTCCATGGAGGAATCCCTACAGCCAGTGGTTCTAAACTACGATGATAAGAACCAGCAATATGGCTTGAATAAGTGCTTGTACCAGCCCAGTGAAGCTTAACTGATTCATTGACCCCAGGCGCAAGATTCCATTGGAGCAACCAGTTTGTAAAAGGCAAGGTCCCGCTGCGTTAGAGACTGAAGATGCTTGGGTAACTTGGAGCAGTGGCAATCCTCCGAAAGAGTTGTCTTGTGTTGGGCTAGAGTTCAAGGGTTGAGCCTTAAACCAATACAGGCAACTCTGCTTTTCTGCAGACAGAAACATCAACATGTATTATGTACAATTTAGCACACACAACACATATTTAATTTATGTATTTTAAAAATATGAATGCCCTAGCTTTATTCAAACAGTCATTCCAAATGCAGTATACCCATGTTGATATAGCTGCAGGCTTCTGCATCATCCCAGAATTGCCTTAAGGTTTCTTAGGTTTTGCTAATTGGGGGAAAACAGGGGGGAACGTTTGCTTTCATCTAGTCTTAAATGGTTATGTTGACCTCAGCATTGTCATGCAGAAACAAATATCTCTCTGGATATACATTTTAATTAATGTATGCATTCGTGATAGAAGGAGAGAGAACTAAATTCTGAAGTACAGTTAAAGAATAGCAATAGCTCAAAAGTGGGGGGAAATCTTATATTTCCTTTCCCACCCATCATTCATCCTGATCCCACCCCCCCACCCCCGCCTTCAACTTCTAGTTGATACAACCTTGTTTTGCATTCATATACTGAAGACTTGGGAGTAAAAGAAAATGATGGTCTTAATTGTTCAGTGCTTCCATCTGGCTGTTAACCAGAAGGCTGGTGGTTCAAGCCCACCCAAGGATAGCTGAGGGCAGAATTTCTGCGTTGTGTGGGGTTGGACCAAATGACCCTGTGTGTCCCTTCCAAATTACAATTCTATGATTCTAAATCAGGAATTGGGAGTTTATGGTCCTTCAGACGTTGCTGGACTTACAACTCCCACCACCTTTGATCAGTGCTAGAAATTAGCCAGGCACCAGGTGCATTTTACGACTAGCTCATGTCCAATTGTGACCATGTGGAGATCTCTGGATGCCAGGCTGGTGACTGGGGGGGGGGGGGGAGCAAAATATCACTTAGAGAAGGACCTGAAATATTTTCCTTGAAGCCTGAATTTGTTTTATTTGATGTTTTGATGTGTTGAAAACCACTTTGAGATCAGTTCTTTAACATACAAAACGGTAAAGAAATGACAACAATAAACTCCATGGCGGGGTGATGGTGCCTAGACATTCCATTGTGGCGGCCATAACCTAGGTTTAAGACACCATTTGGCGATTAAATTATATATCTGAGGGCAATGTTTCCCCACCCGAAGTCTAGGTTTTGTGGAGAGAAGGCACTCTGCGAAGAATGATGAAAGGGCAGGGTCTGGACATGGGTGTAGCCGGGGAGGCAGGGGGCAGCTGTCCCCCGCCCCCAAATCAATCAAAATCAATACAAATCTGAGGTTCTGCCCCCTCCTAACAAAAGCCTACCCCCCTAACAAAAATCCTGGCTATGCCCAGGGATGTGAATCCTTTATAAACTAGCTGCTTCGAATACCCAAAAGGGACTGCAGTGCTATGTCATGATCTACTTTAGACTGAGTTTGGTTATGAACCTGCCTTTCCAGGTAACTAGTGAATGGAATGGGGGTGGAGGTGGGGAATTGACCTTGCCAGTGGATGGAACGCTCCCAGTTCATTTGTTCCAGAGCGCTGCAAATTATTCACCCTGACAGCTTAACTGGAGGGGTGGATGTGCTTGAATGCTGGCGATTGGGAACGGGAGGGGCCGTGCAGAAGGCTCCTCTTTCCAAACCCCTTTGAGAAATGGAAAAGTGAAACGGACCCTTTTGCCCTCTGCCACATGCTGTCTGAGCACGGAGAGAAACCGGATTCATATGAGTTGCATGCTTTCCCACAGTGCAAACATCACCTACCCTTTTTCTCTCAGTGTTCTAGTTGCCGCTGTTTAATAGGCGCTCGTGTTCAAACTGCACATATTTGGCTGATTAGATAACTGGCTTCCTCTCTAGCAATTTTGCTTGGGGAGTTTTTGGTGGAGAGTGGAATCCAGTTCTGTTCTACCCAAACTCTGGAGTGGATTGCAGCACCCAGAATGGATTCCTCAATTGACCCTGGACAAGCACAGAGAAAGCTAGTGCAGCTAAGCTTCTCAGCACGTGTACAAAGGATTCCAAGGCATGCAGAGTGGTGATATTGTCCCCTGCACGGCACTTGGGGGGTGGTGCTCCAAGCAGAGCCTTAGTGTGTAGTCCTCTACCAACTTAGCTAGTAAATATGAGTTCAGACATTCTGAAAAGGTATAGCGCTTGGGATCTAGCATTTCAGTGCCTGATAATATCACAGAATTGCAATTAGAAGGGAGCCTGACTAGGGGTGGCTAATATGGGGCTCTCTGGATTGGTGCTTTTCAACCTTGTGTCCCCAGGTTTTGAACTACAACTCCCATCTTTCCTGACCACTGGCTAAGTGAGTTGAGGATGATGGGAGACACATGGTTGAAGAACGCTGTCCCATTGTACTCCCAGCCTGCCTCAGCCTGCAGGACTAATGGATGAAGGGGGCTGTAGACACAACAGCAACAATGACCCTTGTTCTAGAAGGTAGAGAAGTCTTGATTTTGAAGCATTGTGTAATGTATCACTGCTTTCCAAAAACAAGTGTGTCAGGGTTCGCAAGTTTGTCGAGTCACTCTGTGACTGAAACATTTGAGTGACCAGTGGCTTTGTAAATCCAATTGCAGATGGGAAAACCTCAGGCAAATGTCCCCTCTTCTGGCGTGTGGTTCACAGGTTCAGTTGTTAATCATCTAGATTCTGAGCGATGTCCATGCCTGTGTGAAGTGGCCTTTCATGTGTCACAGCCAACAATTCTGAGGAGCATGTCATGTTGTAGAAAGTTCAAGAAGTTCTTTTTTCTGAGGCTGGTTGTGTGACATGTGCAAAATATTTCGAGTGAGTAAAGCATATGCAGCAGTAATGCTTCTGAATACAGTGGTACCTCGGGTTACAGACACTTCAGGTTACAGATTCCACTAACCTGGAAGTAGCACCTCCACTTAAGAACTTTACCTCAGGATGAGAACAGAAATTGTGCGGCGGTGGCAGCGGGAGGCCCCATTAGCTAAAGTGGTACCTCAAGTTAAGAACAGTTTCAGGTTAAGAACGGACCTCCAGAACGAATTAAGTTCTTAACCTGAGGTACCACGGTACCAGTTGCTGGAAGCCACAGGATGGAAAAGGCCTCTTGCGCTCGTGTCCTGCTTGCTGGTTTTCTGCTGGCATCTGGTTGGCCACTGTGAGAACAGGATGCTGGACTGGAGGGTAATATCAATGGGGTGGGACTATGTATGCCACTTGGAGCTCCTTGGAGAAAAGGAGGGATATAAATGCCATAGACTCATAGAGTTGGAAGGCACCCCAGCGGTCATCTAGTCCAACCCCTTGCAATGTAGGGATCTTAACTAGATCATTACATGACGGACGGTCACCCAACCTTTGCTTAAAAACCTCCAAGGAAGGAGAGTCCACAGCCTCCCGAGGGAGACCTTTCCACTGTCAAACAGCTCTTAATGTCAGCAAGTTCTTCCTGATGTTTAGCTAGAATCTCCTCTTATTACATAATAATAAATGAAAAACAAATACGTAAAATATACATACTTGCCTCCTCCCCTCTGAGTGAAAAATGTGTGTTATTATGAACCAAGCTTATAGACTGCTTCATGGCATAAAACCATCAAAATGGTGGACAGAGTAGATATTGGCATAAATTGTGCTCAGCTTCTGGAGGGAGGAACCTTTAATTATCCATGTGCTTCCTTCACACATTTGATACAGGCTGGGCTTTAGTTAAAATGCCCCCTGTTTCACAGCCTGATTTCAAAAGTAAAACACGGGGCATATTGTCATTTTTTTGGAGGTGTTCTGTTGGGCGGTGGAGGTGAGGTGTATGAAGCCAGCTGCTAAGGGCTGGTTGTTTCCATACCCCCTTTGAAGCCCCTAAAGCAATGCTATGTTTATCACATAAGTGGTGTTCACATGCTTAATAATAATAATAATAATAATAATAATTACACCCCGCCCATCAGCAAGTGGACACTCTCATAGAAACACTTGTGCAGAGATTGCTTGTACCTGTGTTCAAGAGTAACATGTGAACAAGCCTATAATGACACTCTGTCATTGTAGGGTAAGAGCTTGGTATCCAGTCCCAGTTTGAGCTCCCCTCTTGCACCTCTGGTCTCCTTCCTGCACCTGAAACGTGCTGCAGGGGAATTTCATACCTACCCACAACCTACATCTGAAGTGAAAGTTCATATAATTCGCAGTGGTTCTTGAATCTTTTTTTAGATATGCGTACCCAAGTACAGTTATACTTAGAAAGAGACTATGGTATATAAGGTCGTGTATGATCCTGAATTTCACCCCCATTTGCTATAAATAAAACCCATGTCTAAACAAATCCATTTGGTGTTAACCCTAACTTTCTAGAATGGAAGCTTAGTGAGGAATGTTGCATTTCAAGTATTAATGGTGGAGATGTTGGGTGTGTGTCAGTGTCTAGGAATTGTAATTTGGGTAGTTGTTAATAAATACTGGCTATATCGTTGAGAAGAGAAGAATCCTGCCAGATCAGGCCAAAAGCCCATCTCGTCCAGCGTCCTGTTCTCACAGTGGCCAACCAGAGATGCCTATGGGAAACTCACAAGCGGAACATAAGCAGCACAGCTCACACTCCCGCCTGTGATTTCCAGCAACTGGTCTTTGGAGGGAAACTGCCTCCGACAGCGGAGGCAGACCATAGCCATCACGGCTAGTGGCAAATGACACACAACCTGAGTATTGGAATTGAGTAGGCACTCAAGAGTAAGTCTATGAGCTTACTCTTCTGACACTTGGGTAGGAGGAAGAACTGTCCTAATGGAATTTCCTTTTTCCTCCTTTGAAGCTCTCGGGGAAAATGTGGCTTCCAAGGAACTCTTCTGGTTGTCAGTTAGCTGCCACATCTTTCTCCCCCTATTGCAGAGTATATGGGGTGGGCAACCTGTGACACACACCCCCCGCCAGATATAGCTAGAGTGCAGTTCATATCATCCCTGGCCACTGACCGAGGCTGATGTGGGTTGGAGTCCAGAAATGATTCGGGGGGCCCCAAGTGTCCCACCCCCATTGGAGAGTTAAGAAATACTCACAAGGTTTTTTTGCCATGTTCGTCTGTTGGTTGCATGGGCTGTGGAAGTTTGTACTTTTGTACTTTTTAAAGAAAGGTACAAATGCATGTGTTCTGCTCTGGAAAGAATCTAGATATCTGTTCCATGCCGCGCCTCTGCCACAGCGGAGAACCCGGTGCATTTTGAAGGCTCCAGAGAACAATTATTTGACAGCAGGCAGAACCCTATGCTTTTCAGCCTCTGTTTTCATTAGGTTTTTGGAGCATGTGTAGAACTAGGGTTGCTGTATTTCAAAAAGTGGAAATCCGGACACAAACGTTGTTGAGCTTTTTGTTTTTGGCCAAAGTCGTGGAGCTTCTTTTAGTTTTGCAAGATCTATTAAAACACACTTGGTTGCCATAAGTCTGGATTTTCCCGGAAATTAAAGCAATTCCTGCCCAGACACTGTTTCCAATGGCTGAATCCTGGCAATGTCTGGGAAATTCTGGGTGCATGACAACCCTAGTAGAACATAGCTGTGAAAATCCAAAGCAATGCTTGGATAGTGACCGTAACATTACTGGTGGTGGTGGTGATGAACAACTATCTTCTACTCATGCTGTCTTGACACACGTCTCTTCTCTTATTTAGATCTTGAGCATTCTTCCACCATAGGCTTCGAGCTGTCATGTTATGCAATTCCTGTAGGCCTTTTTAAAAGAGTGGAAACATATCAGGTTACCCACTTCCTCTTATTGCAGAGGCCTGCCATTTGATTTTCTTTGCTGGTTGCACGCCCCAGCTTTTCAGTGTTAGCTTCCTTTATCTTAAAAAAGCAACCAACGATGAAACCACAATCCCTCCTATAGAGTAAGTTCTATAGTACAGTTTGTTTAGAGTCGTCACAGTATTGCTTTAGAGCAGCATTTTTCAACCTTGGGTCCCCAGATGTTCTTACAAGCCCACCCATACTTCTGAATCCTCACCCACTGAGTGGTGCAGGTAAATCTCACTCCCCCAGTTTGCCCGATCATTGTTTTGCAGGCTGAGTGGAGTCTACCTGTGGTGCTGGATAGCATACAGAGGAATGAGTATCAGTGGCCTTACCTATCTGCAGCCCATGCTCCACCCATGGTCTATTCTGGCCATGCCCACTGACATGTGGTCCCTGACCATGCCCCTTGTTGCCCACCCCACATGTAGAGATGATGACACACAGGCTGAAGTGTGTGAGGGTGCTCCTTTTCTTTGATCATTAAGCAAAGGTTGCTGCTTTTAAGGCTGAAAACTTGTACACATTTCTAGTGTTTTCCAGTCTCATTGAAATCAGTGGGACCACTTCCAAGTAAATATACACAGGATTCGGCCATAAAATTCTGCCAAAATCTTTGATTAGAATAATTATACAATGCAGATATAGGTGCACAAATGTACTCCATTATTATCAATGTTGCACTTTTACTACTTCTCAAAATTAGTAATGGCTGTATTGGGGAAAATAATTACATCTAGAGTTCTCAGCTCCCTTGATCCCTGCCTGGATGTCTTTTGCTTTCTGAACAACTTGGGTGTGTTTTTCAGAGTGTGTGTATGTGGAAGGATGTTAACTAAGATAACAAGCTTCCCCCTTTTTCTCTTGGAGGAGAAAAGGTAATGTAACTTTGAATTCTGAAAAAAAAAGATGTAGCAAGATGGGTTCTGTGAGCTGGAAAATAAATTTCTGGACCTGTTGGCTGTAAGAATCATAGGAAGGCTAAAGGCTTATTCTAGGTAGGGTGATGCTGGACATAATAATTGGTGATCCATTTCTCTCCCCCTCCCACAAGTTCAGCCAAGAAGCCGAGAATCAACCCTTTATCATTGCTTCAGCCTCCATTGACCTAACCATTCCTTGTTCTGATCTTCAGTGCAAACTGTACAACTAGAATGGAAGTACAAACGTTAGTTAAAAAATAACACTGTGAGTCAAACATAAATTCTAAACCTGGATTCCCTCCCTTTATGGAATAGTTTGACCTCCCTGACCTGACCTCCTTGACCAGAATGCCTGATGGCTTGATTAGAAGAACAATGAGGAATCCGGATTAGTGGTAACCCTAAAGATATATGTAGTACTTTTTCCATTTTCTGATATTGCCAGAGACAATAAGACAGTAACAGAGTGGTTTGCCTTAGTTAAAACCCAAGGGCTGAATTTCCTTAGAGTAAACCTCTCCTTGACATCCCTGGGTGATACTGATGGATTAACGCTGGTGGGTGAAATTACTTTAAAAGTTTGGTGGAGGCTGTAATGAAGACTCGCTTGAATTGAGTTTGCCTTGAACAAGAAGGGAGTGTGTCTTCCTTTTGGAGTTCTGCTGGAGCGTTTCATCTTGCCTTGTGCATAATTATAATTGACGCATGGGGCAACCTGCCTAATGAAACCTGTGCCCTGCAGGTTGATAGCCCTGTATTGTGCATCATCTGTAAAGGTTATGTGGAAGGTAAGCAATAATAGGCTGCTTGGCTTCTATCCAAGAACCAACAGGTAGAACTTCAGCAACTGTAATCCAAGAATTATCATGGTTCTCCTTTTTTTTAAAAAAGGCTCGTTCTGCAGGACAAGGCCCTAGGCTTCAGTCCCCACGGCCTGCCCTGACAGCACCACTGACTTCTGCTGTCCTAAACCTCTGGCCTACCTGGTAGCAAGTCAGTATGTCAAGTCCAAAGTTCAGAGTCCCGGCATCAATCCAAGCAAGCAAAGACCAAAAGTCAGGAAACGCAGTCCAGGGTCAGTCCAAGTAAGCCAAGTCCAGCAGTCAGGATGCAGTCCAGAGTCAAACCTGAAGCACAGACCAGGAGCATCCAAGCCAAGGTCCACCAACAGGGGAGGTTGAGCAGACACAGCACCTCAGCTCTGCTTCCCTTTCATACTTTGCATGCTTATTGTCACACCACGAGGCAGGTGACCCTCACCTGTTCCAAACCCACTCTAGCAGAGGAATTACACACCTTCTCCCAGAGCTAACGAGCCCTACCTGGCCAGCTAGGAAGCTGGGCTGTAGGCCCTTGCCTGCCTCAGCCTCTTAGAGCACCCCTCCTTAGAGCTCCCTAGGCCTTAGAGCCTGCCGTGTTCATGGAGACAGGTCCCCTCTGGTTACGGTGGTGAGTCCTCCTGCTCTGGTTCCTGTGCATTGACCTCCATCCCCTTGCCACCCTCAGTCACCCTGTTTGTGCTTCCTTCCCCAACCCTTCCTTGCCTCAGCATCTCCCAACCCTGGCTACGCACCTTGCTGGGATCCTTTTCCTCCTCCCCATCATCCTGCCAGTTAATGACATCTATATTTTGCTCTTCTCTCACCACCTCTGGCGAGTACAATTTTGTATACCTGGTGCCTATGCCTGGAAATGCACTTTTGAATGGACAAGTAAGGCTGCAGTCCTATACCCTAAAAGTCAAAGAACCTGTATGTTGCTGGACTCCCAACTCCCACAAGCCCCAGCTTGTATGTCTAATGGCCAGGAATGATGGGAGTTGTAGTCTAGCAGCATCTGGAGGATCAAAGGTTCCCCATCCCTGCAATGTATACTTCGGAATGAACCCCAGGACTGATTGCCTGAGCAGAGTCAGCACATGTGAGTGGATTACAAAACATTTTTTTCATATCTCCCCACCTTAACATTTTTGTTCGGTGATGACACTTCGAATTTTAGCCCATTAAGCAAGGACCAGCGGGTGTTTCCACATTGGCTTAAGCAATTTTTCATACTCTTACAGAGATCAGTATCCCGGAAAGGTCCCAAGCTCAAAGTATATTCCTGCTGTGTGTGTTTTGTTTTTCTGTACTTTAAATGACATTGCCTTATCCTTCAACCATCTCATGCTTTGAATCAGTTTTGACATAATGTCCTCTGCTCATTAAAACCACAGAAGCCATTTAATTGTTGGCTTAGTGGAAAAATACATAAGGCTGTCATCAGCTGTTGCTCTGGCAAGGCTTTCTGCAGCAGTATAAATAAATGAGGTCACAGTTCTTAAACAGGCTGTACTTGCAGGACCTCACAAGTGTGCACTCAAAACAGTGTGTGTGTATTTATATGCCTACATTTTGAAATTTACTGCCCCAATGTTACTTACTTGATACCAGTTTTGGAAATAACCGTCTTTTAAATCCCCAGACTGTCTGAACTAATGCAATCTGTACCATCTCCTGTCAATCATCTAATATTGCTCAGCAGCTGAACTTCTGTCTTGTGCAGTGATGTGACTCTAAAAATAAACCTGGGAGAAAAAGATGCACTAGGACAGGATCCGCACACACAAACACACACAAAGTTAAGGTGTCCATTTAGTTTTGAAACTGATGCATGCAGGTATATCTACACTGAAGAGTTAAACTGGTTTAATAGCCATTCATTCTCCTCCCCCCACAAAACTCCACAAAGCTATAGGGTTGTGGTGTTGTTGTTGTTGTTGTTGCTCAGTGGAGAGTGGACATGCTTTGGGAATCCTACTAGAGCATTCTGTGTGCTGTCAGCAGAATACAGCAGCTATTTCTAAATTTGCACCTATACTTACAGTATCAATTGGCACGTGCAATTTTTGTGCAAATCTCTGTCTTTTTGACAATGTGCAAGTGGCCACCCTATTACTCTAGGTCAGTCTGCCTGTGAGCTTACCAGCTGAATGGGCATATAAACCCAGTTCCTGCCTGTGTTAAGTCCAACACCACCCACTCTACCACTCCGACCATCCAGACAGAGGCTCTTCTGAGAGTGAACTAAGCAAAGTGTTTGTGAATGAACTGTCAGGTTCAGCAGCTTCACTGCTGGAGGGAATAGATCTGACGTTATGAGGCTACTAATATGAGTTATATAAATTGATAGCTCTTTTTTGTTTGAGCCACAAGAAGATCTCTCCGGTCTGAATTTCTGGAGAGTGGGGAGGATAAACGCCACCCAATGTCAGGATAACGGTTCTATGTTTTCTGCAGCTTTTTTTTTTATGAAAGGGTGATGCTGGGGAAACTTCAGAACTTCCAAAATGGCCTGCTGCCTCAGGTAGAGAGCATGAACAAAATAGCATAGTTTTCCAAACTTAAAAATAATAATAATAAAAATCCTCCTGAACATATTTAGAATGCAGGGGGGGGGTTTATATTCCTGGCCGTTGTATGAATAAGTAAAATCACGTAAAGCCAGGAACCCCTGGATCCTGCCCCCTTGCAAGGTGGAGGGCTGCTTGCCTGGCTTTTGAAAGCTGGCACAAGGGCTGTAACAGGTTTCCAGAGCCCTCCCACTACCTTCCCAAAGCCCAGTAAGCACTAGGAGTCTGCCAGAGCCCTCGTACCTCCTTCCCAAAGGCCAAGCCTCACGCTGCCTTCCCAAAGCTGGATAAGCCTGCAGCTGCAGTTTTGTGCAGGTATGTGTGTTGAGGGGCGAGTGTGTGTAAATAAATGATGAGTGGGTTTTCTCTTCTCTCCATTTATTTATTTATTCCCCTCGCACCCACTCGCTGCCATCATGTAAATAAAATAAGTATAAGTTACCTGTACACCATAATTCCGCATAGCACTTTTTTCTTTCTTGCTTTAAAATGGTACTGTTTTGCGATAATCCCAGCCAAGTTCAGAGGCAGGTTGAGGTCTGGCATTTGTGAGATTATTGTTATCATTTGTTAATTTTTTATACCACTCTTCATCCAAAGTTCACAGTGTGGTTTACAACCTAAACACAAAGAATACCCAATACAGTGGTACCTCGGGTTAAGAACTTAATTCATTTTGGAGGTCCGTTCTTAACCTGAAACTGTTCTTAACCTGAGGTACCACTTTAGCTAATGGGGCCTCCCGCTGCCGCCACGCGATTTCTGTTCTCATCCTGAAGCAAAGTTCTTAACCCAAGGTACTATTTCTGGGTTAGCGGAGTCTGTAACCTGAAGCGTCTGTAACCCAAGGTACCACTGTACATCTAAGAGCATTGCCATATCTGCTTTACATAGGACACAGAGAAAGGTTGGAGGCAGCATGAGAGAATTATCGGTTGCACCCCCAAAAAACTGAGCCGTCTTTATGCCATCCCCCAACACAACTTGTTACTGATCATCGTGATCATTTACTAGCTTCAGTGAGGATCTTTTATCCTCAGTGGTACATTCTAATGAAGACATAGCTGAACTAGTATAAACCAGAGTGTGTCGCAGAAAGTCCTTGGGAGAAGAAGGGCTTTCTGGTGGTTGGTTAACTTGCTTTTGGGTGAATTAAAATAAATCAATGGAGCTATAAAACATTACACAGCACAGGCCCCAAGGCCTTCAGGAATGGGCTATGCTGAAAATACATTTTTTAAATATAAAGTTCATCAACTGTCATAGGCAAGGACGGCAACACTTTTCAGAATATCAAGTGCTTGTTTTTCAGACTCGAAACTTATATTTTAATGGCATCACTAGATGTTAGTGAACTTTGCAGCACATATTCCATGATCATTGTTGATGGGCTGTGGGGCATTGCTAGCAGAAAGGATCTGATAACTTCTTTTTATGATTCTGTGTAGATACATCCAAAAGATAGCTTCAGATAACTGGGTGGTCTCTGTGAGCTTGCTTGCAATAATCTCCGAGCAGGATATAATTTTGGTTTACTCTCTGGCTAACAACATGATGACACAGATATGTTTAGAAACAACAACATACTCTGAACTCAATTACAACCAGTGGATTGTGTCTTAAGTCATACTTGGAGCAGATCAACTGAAAGAGCTGATTTTTCAATGGGACAACTCTGAGTTTGACTTAATCAGATGCAACCCAATAGTTCCCAGGTGCATGTTTTGGCGGGGACTTCAATACATATTGTTACTGATACAGTCAGATTCCAAAAACATTAATCTTTTCATTTATAAATAAATGTATGCTAAATGTAAGCCTTTATGTATCTGCTTTAGCCAGTTTTCCTATTTCCCCCCTCCATGCTTTAAGCATGGACTGTCTGAACCTGTTTACTGTTGTAAAACCTCACACGTACAGTATGTAAAAGAATGGAAGTTTACAACCCCCCTCTCCACGTCTCTTCCCCTAATTTTATACAGTCATACCTCGGAAGTCGAACAGAATCCGTTCCACAAGTCCATTCAACTTCCAAAATGCTTGGAAACCAAGGTGCGGCTTCCGATTGGCTGCAGGAAGGTCCTGCAGCCAATTGGAAACCACGGAAACCACACCAGATGTTCAGGTTTCAAAGAACGTTCGCAGACCAGAACAATCACTTCTGGGTTTGCAGCGTTCAGGGGCCAAAATGTCTGAGCTGGGAGGCATTCAACCTCCGAGGTACGACTGTACTGTATACAGTATCAAAGTCTCATATTGAATAGGAATGGTCTGAAAAAGGATTAAGGCTTTCTGGGGGATGATATATAATGAAATGAAAAAGGTATTTAAATATACCTTCCTGAAGAAACCAGAGGCCTTTCTCCTGGGCATAGTCGGCCAATTGGTGCCAAAGAAGGATAGAACTTTCTTTATGTATACCACAACAGCAGCTTATTGCAAAGTACTGGAAGACACAAGACCTACCCACTCTGGAAGAATGGCAGATGAAGGTGATGGACTATATGGAATTGGCGGAAATGACTGGCAGAATCCGAGACCAGGGAGAAGAGTCAGTGGAAGAAGACTGGAAAAAGTTTAAAGACTATTTACAGAAATATTGCAAAATTAATGAATGTTAGAATGATGTTGGATAGAAATTAAGTGGTTTTTAGCTGTAATATTATAAGGGAATATGAAAAATGGATTATTAATAGGTAAAAATTTAATGTTACAATATTTTAAGATTAAAGACTAGGATAAACAAAGAGGGGAAGGATTTGCTGAACTAACAAACTGAATTGGAATACAAAAAAGGGAGGCGCAAGGAGGTCCGGGAAACAAGCAAATGAAAGATAGTAACGGAAAGATTGAGTTGTTTTTAACTACTTTTATTTTGTATTTTTCTTTTTTCTTTTTTCATTTTGTAATATTTTGAAAATTTTAATAAATATCTTTTAAAAAAGAAAGAAAGAAGAAGGACTTTATCATCTGAAAGAGACAATGTATGTAATTTTGTAACCCAATAAAATCTTTAATAAAAACAATTTAAAAAAATAAACTTTAGTCCTTCCCGGGTAGATTTTATCTTTTGCTTGTTTGCAAAGCATTTTGAAAATCGTTTGCATCCCCCAGGATCCTGACTCTGCTACTACAGCAGATTAATTTCAAGGGGTGTCCAGAGCACTCTCTAGTCCTGTTGTGTCAGATGAGTTTCAGTTAGTAAGGCTTGCGCATGTAGACAAGGTGCTTGGATCACTCAGGATGACCCCTTGTGCTCCTTAATAATAGAATAAAAATGTCTATTTCTATTTTATTGATTTTCACTTTTATTTATGCAAAAAGTGGCTTGCATAAAAACAATACATGCCAGTAAAATTTCCTTAAAAGCAAGAGGGAAATAAAATGCAGCTGTGTATCTCAAATTAAACAGAGTGGTGTACCAAACAAAACAAAACGAAAATAAAAACGGTAAGAGTCCAGGAAAGCAGAAGTGTTTAAAGGTCACGACAGTCTCTTAACTCATGAATTACACAAGGGAGGACTCTACAGAGGCTTAGGCCGCAGGAGGCGCACTTCTGCCTTGTAGGAAGTCACAATGGGGTGGTCGTTGAACAACCAGTATGGTTTCCCCAGGGGGTTTTAAAGACTGGCCTGCTCTGTATGGGGAAAGGAGGCCTGCTAGACAGTAGCTGAGGCATTCTTATTTACCCAGGTTTTTTAAAATAATGTGTATAGTACTTCTGTGTTTCTGTTTTATTCACTTCTGCTTATGTTGTTGCTATTTACTGTTGTACACTTCCCTGAAATAGAAATTTGGAATCAGCACTGTTGATTTAAAATGTTTATATGCTGCCCTTCATCAGTTTCTATGGTTCATAATCGCCTGCCCTCTCCCATATTATGGTTGCTGGTGACTTTCCTGGCCCTATGCTTTTTGGAATTAGGAAAGGGTGTTTTTGTATAGGCTTAGGGTTGACTATTGGCTACCTCTTATACTGGTATCCCTTTTAAGGTGGCTGCATTCCCTTGCTTGCTTGCCATTTTAGTAGAGAGAGAGGAGAAATTTGATTTCCCTTTGCATTTCAAGGTGAACCTACCTAATTTGCACTTCTCAAAACAATGTGAAACATAGCTGTCTTTTATTCATTTATTTATTCATTTTATTTGTATGCTGATTTTCTACAGAAAATAAAACATGCTCAAAGTGGCTCACAACAAAGAAGCAGGGATGCATTTCAAACACTACAAAAACCATTTCATAATAACATAGCAAAACATAAATATGACAACCTACTCCAAAACCATATTTCAATACTGTAAATATAACAAGATTCTTTAAACAACATGCAACATCCTAAAGCAATAAGAACAAGGGAGCTTCAGTTTGACGTTAGTCCTAGAAACATCCCTCCCATGTTGTTCCTCGCAGTCCCTCTCCTGCAGCAACCATCAAACGCCTTTTGGGTTTGCAAGAAATGTGTGTATTGTGCACAAAAATGCAAATGTTAGGGAAAATAACACAGAATTTTCTGCAAGAAATTTCCCCTAATAATACATTTTTGTAAGTCGGAAATGCTCTTATATTTCTAGGAAGTACTGAAGAGGTTGCTCCCTCTCTTTGGGCAGAGGCTCTGTGTTTTTTAGGAGCTGCATAGCAAGGAAAATGAATCAGGTACAGTATAGAGATAAGAAAGTCTGTGCAGATTGAAATTTGCCATCCTGTGGCTGTTAAAGAGATGGAGCTTCTGTCCCGATTGGCTGGTGCCCACTGGGACTAGTAGGGCAGAAACCAAGGGTAGTTGGAGTCGGAGCCAATGACAGGCAGAGCCAACTAATTCTATTCTTCTCTCCCACCCTCTTCCCTGATGAGCTCTTACAAAGTTTGTTTCAGCACTGAAACTAAAGAGGAGGAAGCTGTCAGGCTGTAAGTAAGAAGGCAGGTAGGTTGAGGCGGACTGAGGGTAAACTGAGGCTACTGGGCCTGGGCCCCTTTAGCATTAATGGACCAGCCTGCACTGGCTTCCAGTGTGTGTTGAGGGGAGTGACAACCCTACTTCCCCCCAAAAGAACAACAGGGTATGGTTAAATAAGCACTGAGAGTTAGTAGAAAAAATGTTTGCAGCTGTGGTTAAAGCCAGAGTTGTGATCTATTGATGCTACTAACCTTTCTTGTGTAATAAGGGAAGACATAGGTAAAAATAGTTATCCAGCTACCTTTGCTCTGAATTGGCAGAAAGGGACCATAAAGGACTTGGATGCAGCCCAAAGCAAAATAAGCTCACTTATGCCAAACTTTCTGAAATGCCTTTTTCTGATTCATAACGGAGCAAACAAAAATGCCAAAAGGTTAATCAGATCTCTGTCCACCACCTCTTTACCTGTGTTCTTATTACCTTGTGTTCTCTTAAAATAACCGGTTGGTGTTTCATTATTTCACATGGTGTAAAAGCATCTCTATTAAGGTGAAACGCCTTCCCATCAGATGTCAAAGAGATAAACAACTACCTGACGTTTAGAAGACATCTGAAGGCAGCCCTGTTCAGGGAATTTTTTAATGTGTGACATTTTAATATATTTTTAATCTTTGTTGGAAGCCGCCTAGAGTGGCTGGGGAAACCCAGCTAGATGGGTGGGGTACAAATAATAAATTCTTGTTGTTGTTATTATAAAATATAAGTGTCTTATGTTTGGGCGGATCTTAGCTGGAATGTCTAAAGGTTTTTATTCTGGCACATAGGCTTATAGACAAGATAAGAATATAAAGAGTTGTTACTAAAAAGTCTCTGAGCTGCCATAGTTTGAACCTTTGCCTTTTACCAAAAGCAATTATTATTATTTTTCAACCTTCTTTCCAAGAGTTACATCACTTTTTAGACAAGGTGTCTCTGGTTCTTGCAATTTTCTCTTATCTTTGTCAGTTTGCATAAAGCTACATTTCTCTTGCATTAGTGCCTTATTTCACATGCCGTTAGTGAAAGCTTAACCTATAATCACCCATGTGTACACAAGGGATATAGCTGTATTTTTCCTCCTCCCTGTTAGGCAAATTCTGCTCCAACCACCTGTTAGCATTACATCACTGGCTCCCAAGAACACAGTTGTACCAAAAGGCCTGAAACAAAGTAGCTCTTCTTGCATTGTTTGCACTCAAAGAGCTGATGTCATGCCCAGCTGATGTCATTGTATGTCTTTGTGTAATTGCCATGGAAACCAGGCAGGTGGGGAGGCTGAGCTGATGTCATCTCAGAACGAGGTGTAGAAAGTTCTTAAGCTTCTGTTTTTCTCTTCAGATTTTGTGGAACAGCGTTAGACAACAGATTGGAAAATCCCAAAGTACGTTAGGACAATATTCTTTTAAAAAGTGTATCAGTCTGGGGTGCATTTGTTGAAACCCCCTCACCCTTCAAGTGTCCTCTCTTTGAGAAATCATCTTTTATGAAGCAGAATAATCAATTATGGAACTACATAAGGAGTATTACCATTTCACAGGCAAAACAAAAATGTTATTGTGGAATCTAAATGGATCATCTCCCTGATTTGAGAGAGGTGGGGCGGTATTTATTTAGCCCTTTCCTGCATTTGAAAAAAGTGCTATCTGGGAAGTGAAAAAATTATAAAATACTTGTGTAATACAACCGTGTGTGTGTGTATGTGTGTGTGTTTGAAAAGTGTGTTTGAAAAGTGTGTTTGAAAAGTTTGAAAAACTATGTTTTTGAAAAATAGTTTAGCAGTCACTGGAGTGCATTCAGAATAGGCATGCTTAAAATATATTGGGTGATATCCACTGTTAGTAAGACTCAGAGTAGACCCATTGAAATCATTGGATGTAGGCGAGGCTGCATATGCACTATACATTTAAAGCAGGAAATTTTAAACAAGTATGGCTTTCACCAAATAATCCTGGGAAATGTAGTTTGTCCAGGGTGCTAATTGTCGTTAGGAGACAGTACTAGAAATATCTAGAAAGAGGGAATGGTTGTTAAACCCCTCTGGGAATAGAGGACTCCTAACAACTCTCAGCATCCTTACCAAACTACAATTCCCAGGTAAGTATTGGGAGTATTCCACTTTTTCTGTGTGCCAATTAGCTACCAGTGTATAACACCCTACAGTTGGGGGACCAGGATACCAGAAAGTTCATCTCACCCCTTATATACTCAATCAATCAGTGCACTCGGAAGTTGAGAGCCTCCTGCAGATGCCTTTAGGAGATCCTAGAGTTGATTGAAAGCAAACCTCCAAATCTAATGGGTAAATCATAGAAGGGACCCTGAGGATCATCTATAGTCCAACCCCCTGCAATGCAGGAATATGCAACTGTCCCATACGGGGATCGAACTTGCAACCTTGGTGTCATCAGTACCATGTTCTAACCAACGGAGCTATCCAGGCTCTACACAGTGTATAACTCAGAACTTTAGTGTTGAGGCGCCTCCCCTACCCTTTGGAATTTCCGCTCTGTTAAATATCACATAGGTGCCATCACTGAAGACCATCTACTGAAGACCATTGTCTTCCAACAAGCCTTTCAAGTAGAAATATTTCCAAGTCTGCATCTATATGACTGGGAGTGGCTGCCAAGACCATATAACACTGGTTCTGAAAGTCCTACATTGGCTCCCAGTACGTTTCCAAGCACAATTCAAAGTGTTGGTGCTGGCCCTTTAAATCCGTAAATGGCTTTGGCCCTGTACAGTGGTACCTCGGGTTAAGTACTTAATTCGTTCCGGAGGTCCATTCTTAAACTGAAACTGTTCTTAACCTGAAGCACCACTTTAGCTAATGGGGCCTCCTGCTGCTGCTGCTGCTGCTGCTGCTGCACCGCCGGAGCATGATTTCTGTTCTCATCCTGAAGCAAAGTTCTTAACCCGAGGTTCTATTTCTGGGTTAGCGGAGTCTGTAACCTGAAGCGTATGTAACCTGAAGCATATGTAACCCGAGGTACCACTGTATACCCGAAGGAGTGTCTCCACTCCCACTGTTCAGTCGGGACACTGAGATCCAGCTCCAAGGCCTTCTGGCAGTTCCCTCACTGTGAGAAGTGAGGTTACAGGGAACCAGGCAGAGGGCCTTCTCAGTAGTGGTGCCCGCCCTGTGGAATGCCCTCCCATTAGATGTCAAGGAAATAAACAACTATCTGACTTTTAGAAGACATCTGAAGGCAGTCCTGTTTAGGGAAGATTTTAATGTTTGATGTTTTATTGTGTTTTTAATACTCTGTTGGGAGCAGCCCAGAGTGGCTGGTTAAAACCAGCCAGATGGGCAGGGTATAAATAATAATAATAATAATAATAATAATAATAATAATAATGGAATTGTAACATTTTATCATTTGTGTGCTTGTCTGCCTGGGCTCCTCAGGGTAGACGAGTGGGATATAAAGATTAATAATGATGATACTAACTAAATAATATCTCAGGTTCCTGACCTTCTCCTTTTTAAAATCTCTCTGTGCTGCAGGTGGACTCAGCAGTTTTAAACAGAACCACGAAAACCTCTGTGACAACTCCCTCCAACTCCAAGAGTGCCCCGAAGGCGGAGGAGGGGGCGGTGCTGCTGCCGCGGTGACCTGCACGCTACCTCAGTCCATCCCGACCACCCCAGACATTGAGAACGCCGAGCTCACGCCCATCTTGCCCTTCTTGTTTCTTGGCAATGAGCACGACGCTCAGGACTTGGAGAAGATGCAGCGGCTGAACATCGGCTACGTCATCAACGTCACCACTCACCTCCCTCTCTACCATTACGAGAAAGGCTTGCTCAACTACAAGCGGCTCCCGGCCACAGACAGCAACAAGCAGAATCTCAGGCAGTACTTCGAAGAGGCTTTCGAATTCATTGGTAACTATCCTAGCAAAACGGCCGCAATGGCTGCTTTGGCGGCGCAAATGCATTTAGTTCCGGGCTGACAGGCGTGGAACTGATTATCTTTGCCCAAGGGGGTGGGAAGCAGCTTTATCATGTTGTGTTGTTGTCTGAGCATTTCAGCGCTTGCAGAACTTTCCATCGGCCTATGGTAGGGCTGCCAAAGAAATCTGGTCGCTTCCCGTGTTTTATTATTGTTTTCCGGGCATCTTTGTACATTATGCAGCATAATGACAGCTGGGGTAGCTCAGTTGGTAGAGAATGAGACTTGCAATCTCAGGGTTGTGGGTTCAAGCCCTACAATGGGCAAGAGATTCCCCCATTGCAGAGGGTTGGAATAGATGACCCTTGGCAGTCCCTTCCAACTCTGATTCTGTAATGTGCATGTGTGTTTAAACTTGCAAGATTTCAGGAGCACATCTGTGTTTTCTGGAGGGGGCGTGCTAAATGGGCAGCTGCTGACAGCGCCCATTCTCGTATGAGCCAGATGTTTGCAAAACACCTGTTTCTCACATTCACACTTTGGCTGCCTTCAGACATGGGGAATATTGTGTTTGTTTTCCTGATTTTAATGCTAGCACTTCTGCACCTTGCACACTGCAGTACCTGTTATGGAGCAGTGTTTTGATGGATATACCAGCATGTCACACTAAACACTAAACATCATTCCCAACAGTGGCCATGGTGTGACACAAGAACAAATGTCATTGGACAATGTTGCTCCTCCCATGCCCTTTCTACACATATGTGCTTCTCTTCAGGAAAGAACAGTATGCCAGTATAACATCCCAAATTTCATCACTTCACTTCCATCATTTTCTTGGTTAAGGTGGCTGCAAATGGATCTTTTTCCTGGAATTAAATTGCATGGAAACGAGTGCCCCCAGCAACCTCCTGCAGCCTCAATTATACATTGAGGCTTTGGGGGTAGGAAATGTGGCTGCAAGAGGGAGGATAGAATGAGAAACATAGGCTGACATAAAAGCCAAGCCATTGGGTACTGGTGGCAGGAAGATCATGTCCACAGTCACACCTGCAGTGCATTAATCTGTTGGCAACTCAGTGGTGCATTGCATTGAGTGTGTGGATGTTAGTGGGGAGGAAGCCAGAAACATGTGGACATTATGAGTGGGGCCAATGGGTGTGATCCTGCTTCCACCTCCACATATGACATACAGTGGTACCTCGAGTTAAGAACTTAATTCGTTCCGGAAGTCCGTTCTTAACCTGAAACTGTTTTTAACCTGAGGTACCACTTTAGCTGGGGGGACACAGGTGGAGCTGTGGGTTAAATCACAGAGCCTAGGACTTGCCGATCATAAGGTCGGCAGTACGAATCCCCACAATGGGGTGAGCTCCCGTTGCTGGGTCCCTGCTCCTGCCAACCTAGCAGTTCAAAAGCACATCAAAAGTGCTAGTAGATAAATAGGTACCGCCCCAGCTGGAAGGTAAACGGTGTTTCCGTGCGCTGCTCTGGTTCGCCAGAAGCGGTTTAGTCATGCTGGCCACATGACCCGGAAGCTGTACGCCGGCTCTCTTGGCCAATAAAGCTAGATGAGCGCCGCAACCCCAGAGTCGGTCACGACTGGACCTAATGGTCAGGGGTACCTTTACCTTTACCTTTACCACTTTAGCTAATGGGGCCTCCCGCTGCCGCTGCGCCGCTGGAGCACAATTTCTGTTCTCATCCTGAAGCAAAGTTCTTAACCCGAGGTACTATTTCTAGGTTAGTGGAGTCTGTAACCTGAAGCGTCTGTAACCTGAGGTACCACTGTACAGTATAGACAGCGAGGAGTTTCTATGAACACCCCAGTGCACAGTAGGTGACATCAGTGGGGTATTTTGGGCATACGCTGAAAATAATAATAATAATAATAATAATAATAATATATTATTTGTACCTCGCAAATCTGGCTGGGCTTCCCCAGCCACTCTGGGCGGCTTCCAACAAAGATTAAAAATACATTAAAATGTCACACATTAAAAACTTCTCTGAACAGGGCTGCCTTCAGATGTCTTCTAAATGTCAGGTAGTTGTTTATCTCTTTGACATCTGATGGGAGGGCATTCCCGTTTGGCTTTACCTTTCAGAGTAAGAATATTGGCTAAAGGGGTGGTAGAAATAGGGGATTTTGCTGCCAGAAGATGTGGCGATGGCCACCAATGTGAATATTTCTAAAAAGAAGGAATATACCAATTCGTGGAAGATAAGGCTATCAATGACTGCTAGTCATGGCAGCTCTACATAGGAGATGGATTGAACAGCCTAACTCTTTCTCATTTCAATCTTGATGGTGCTCAGACACAGGCTCATTTTGTTCTGGGATGGAGATGATAGATAGATGATAGCTAGATCGATAGGTGATAAATATAATCCACATTTAAATTTTGTGCATTTTGTATGCAGAATGCACACTTTTTAATGCTTCTCCGATCTGTAACATATGCAATTTGCTTGTATCTCTCACACAAAAGTTATATTTTTGTGCACATAATCTGCACACAAGCTACACTGCAACATCTAGAAAAGTACATAATTGACAGGGGATTTACATTCTGATCTGCCTGCACTTTTGGGAGCACTGGATCACATCAGTCTGCTGTGAAAAGCAGACTGAACAACTTATTTTCCCATCCCTAACTGTATACTACCTTTGGTTTCAGAGGCATTAGGCCTCTGAAAACCTTTTGTGATGATCAGCAGTGAGAGAAGCCAGTTGCCGCCATGCATGTCGTGCCTGGGGGCTTCCCAGAGGCATCTGATTAGTCACTGTACGAAGGAGGATCAGCCTTTGGGCTGATCTGCTGTGGCTCTTAGTCAGTTTCCCTATCCTTCCTATCAGGGAAAAATAATTTGGTGGCTTTCTTCCTAGAAAGGTACCACCTGATATTACTAATCCTAAATTCTACTACAGTAAGAGATACGACTACAGGATTTCTCCCATTTGAAAATTTAACTGCTTTTAACCACCACCAAAGGAGATTGCAAGCCTTTCTCTCTTGAAGTCACTGATCTCACCAAATGACAAAAATGTTTACTCAGTGCCAGAGTTCTGAAATCCACAGTTGAGCAATACCTTTTATTTGGACCAACCAAAACATCACAAAAATAGTGAGCAAGCTTTTAAAGTTCTTTTGTTGTGTTTTTCCTCTCCCACCCCCACCCTGTATAGACTTTGCATAGACATACAATACAATGATGAAGAGTTCTGGAGAACTCAAAAGCTTGTTCAATGTTTTGAGGCCCAGTATTTTTTCCTGTTTAACATACCGTTAATGCCTTCTTGTGTTTATGGCAGATGTTCATAATAAAGGAAAGCAGAGGCAGTGTTGTCTTTTTGGAAATCTTGGTCCCTTTTTGCATCTTTCCTTTACCACTGTGTCATAAATATGGGAGGACAATGAAATAGAGGGCAAAAAATGTCTACCCTTGACTGGTCCTTTTTTAACCAATACTTTTACAGACTGTCTCTTAAATACCACTTAAGGCTATACAATGGGCAATTCTATCTATCTATCATCTATCATCTATCATCTATCTATCTATCTATCTAAATTAAATTCTTACACCCCATCCTTTTCACTTTGGTAACTATATCCTAGAGCTATGCCTGCATGTTTGATGAACATATATTTCTTTGTCTTGACTTTTTAGTAGGATAAATATTCTGTTAAGTAACTAGTCAGAGCTTAGCTTTGCCCTAGGGACAGTTTAAATTGGATCTGCAAAGATCTGGGTGTCTTAAATAGATTTTCTCCCTGCTCCCAAAGCAGGGTTTTATGAAGGCTGAAATAAAGGCAGAAGGCCTGTGGAAAATCAATGTGTGTCCTTCCCAAGAATCAACCTGAAGCAGAGTCTGGTTCCGTAAGACAAGCCGTGCTGGATCAGGCCACCAATCCACCTGGCTTAGGTCACTTTGAAGGTCACTTTCACATCACCTTTTCTGCAGCTAAAGATATATGCAAATGTGGAGAAGCACACGCTCAACACATTAGGAACTGGAGGTTTGCTGCAGGGGAAATGTGGCTTCCCAGCATTCCCAGGTTGCTGTCCCTTAATGTGTGAATTGGCCCTTGCAAAACTCATGAATGACAAAAACTTAACAATTTCAAAACAAAAATTCTGGATTCTATGTGGTTTCCATAATTCAGCTGGCTTTTGGTGAGCCTTGGATAAAAGGCACACATGACTTGCTGGAGTGTAAAAAAAAGATGAATATTTCCCCCCTACCAGATCAGAAGGGCTATTGGGAGAAAAGGTTGTGTGGGGTGGGTCACCTGTGGCATGTAGAACAAACCACATCTGCCACCCAGAATTTATCTAATAATGATTTTCCCTTCCCTTAAGGCAGCACTTCATTTTTCCTTCTTGCTGTTCCCTGTGTTTCAAGAGAAGATCAATGTGAATGTGTACCCAGGATGCCAACTTGAATAAAATATTGGGGGGGGGGGAGCAGGCAAGTCCCGCCTCACACAACTGATAACAAGACCTGGCACATGCACACTATTTGAATTACAATGCCCACCAAGTGGGAGGGGGGCCCACATATTTTATTTGACCCCTAGGAGTTGGCTCCTATGGTGCACATACACAAATACCCCCAGAACAGGTGCATTCCACACCACGGCATTATGTTTTAATATAAAATCAGCACTTTTTGTTTTATTATATAATTGCAGTTTCCCAGATCTAAAGCTCCCCCCCTCCCCCCTGGCATTCCACAATGGTTGTGTTATGTTGTTGAACGAAGAATGTGCACTAACAGAGGCCATTGTGACCATGGTCCAGACACCACCCCAAAAATGTGCATGAACAAAGTGGTATAAAAAAAGTGGGACTTGCATATTGCAAATGATGGCAATGGTATGTCTAACATATTCTCCAGTTTGTCCTGTCTGTGGGTTCACTTGGTATGGTGTGAAAGCCTTACATCATTTGGAGGCGCTGCACCTAGTTTTCAAAACCCGCTGTTTATTCTGTTCATTTGAGCACATTCTCCCTGATGTCAGGAGCTGGTTTTGTGGCATATTCTACATGTCCAACATTGTTAGAAGTACAAAATGAATAATATAATGTGTGAGTTCATAGAAACGTGCATTTCTCTAGGGAGAAATATTTTAAAAATGCATTAGCCTGGAATTGGTAATAGCAAGAATAATCTACAGATCTAGGGAGGGAGAGGGGCACAATGATTTTTGGCCACTTCCGAGTTGCAAATGAGAGAAATTAGATTCATAGGTGAGGTTCTAGCCCAGCAACCTCTGCAGGGGCTGTAGGCTTCCCAACTCTAAGCAAGTGAATCTCTGGCTGCTGCTTATTTTGAGGAATGCATTAGGAGCTCAGGTCTCTTGACCTCTAGCTTTCACTCACTGAAGTGAATGTTTACATTTTATTTCTGTGCTTTTTTTCCAGAGGAAGCTCACCAGTGTGGAAAAGGCCTCCTCATCCACTGCCAGGCTGGTGTGTCCCGCTCTGCCACCATTGTCATCGCTTACCTTATGAAGCACACACGAATGACCATGACTGATGCCTATAAGTTTGTCAAAGGCAAGCGACCAATCATTTCTCCTAATCTTAATTTTATGGGGCAGTTATTGGAGTTTGAGGAAGATCTGAACAACGGAGTCACGCCGCGAATTCTCACGCCAAAGCTGATTGGGGTAGAGACTGTCGTGTGATGGCAAAGAAGCACGTGACTAAAAAAAGATGTTCGTATTCTTCACTTGACATGGACTTGGAAGGCTTGGATTTCCCCCATTTTTTTTCTTTTTAGCTTTATTGAGAAGGGTTTATTATAAGACAAAACTTTGGACAGGAACCTTTTTGAAGAAAAGGTTTTAAAAATACAAGGACTTCACAAGCGTTGGGCAAGATACCTTTGGAAGTCCCTTCTTGAAAAGTGGATGATGTGGGGATGCTTTGAAGAAACCAGTTTTAAAAGTCTCCATGCGTGTAAGAGAGAAACTGGACAATATATTTTTTTTTCTTCCCTTTTTGGTTATTCAGCTACTTGTAGAGATTATGACTAAGTAGTCTGTGCAGGTTCATAGACCGAAGACAGCTATGTTTTCTCCCCAAAATAAAATACAACCAGCCAAAATAAAAAAGCGAAAAGACAACTAAAACCCACGGGCGGCCTTGAGTTTGCAAAGGCTTTGCTAAAGAAACCCTAAGCAAAATGCTTGCTGGTGCAAAGAAGATCAGAGCAGCTTAAAACTATCTGCAAATCCCTTCTCGCCCTCTTGACTAGAGAAAATCTTTTTATTTGCTGTGTTTCATCTTCTGGTACTATTTTTCTATTTGGGGGTTGGGGGTAGGCTAACACCAAGGGACTTGACCATTTTACGCCATATGCCTTTACTGGCTTCTTGTGCAATAATAGTTTTGAGTAATGGAAAGAGTTCTTTATTTTGAGTGTTCAAACCAGTTACAGCTGGCTGCCCATTAATAATATTAATAATATTTTTCAATAGCATAAAGGTGGCTGGCTTGATTTAGAAGAAGGTATACAACAACAAAAAAAGCAATTATTTTTTCCCCTTTTTCCGATTCTGGTTATAGTGCCATACACCTTGTTAAATATGTATATCAGAATGTACAAAGATCAAGAGCAAGCAAAGTTTATTTAAAATATTTTTTCGCACAAAATACTGGTGTGTTTTTCTGTTCATGTAAAAAGTTTGATTATAAAAATGAAAACTGTTTTAGAAATTGTGCGTGTGTCTCCCTTTCCTTATTTCTTTCGTGAACGCTCCTGTGTAGGTAGCTTTCCACTTGCAAGATGCAGCAGGGCATGGTGTGGTGGTGGGAGGGCAGATTGTGGCACAGGGGGGGTAGTACTTGCCATGCAGATGTTCCATGTGGCTCCTATCTCATCTAACTATGGCCTTGGTCCAGTGAAACCATGGTTTGTTGGACAAAGAATGCATATGATGCCCATACACTTCCTTCTCCCTTTCTCTCAGGGATAGGGAACCTGTGGTCCTCCCAATGTTGTTCAGAGTCCAACTCTCGCCAGCTTGGCCAATGGTCAAGAGAGATCGGCAGTGGAGCTGGCAACATCTGGAGAACCACAAAGTTCCCCAACCCTACCTTCTGGGGTTTCTTAAAGGACAGTTTCTCAGACTTAATAAGAAATGGCAGGTTTTTTTTTTTAAAAAAAAGTCCTAGATGCACAACAGAAAGGGAAGAGGATGCATGTTAATATAACTCGTTTTCAGTCTGTTAAACCATGGTTTATTCAGACCAAGTTCCTCTTGTCTGAAAGGGCCTGGGCAACAAGTTGATCTGCATGTAGAATTGGCATACCCCAACCTGGCCCAGACTGCATATGTGTGTCCAGATGCTCATACGAGATGGCAGCTACAGGGCACACTGGTGAATGCTGCTTTCGTGGCTCCCATGCAGTCTTAAACAGGCCTTGAGTACTCTGTAGTACAGACGTCCAATCCCATTTTATTCCATATTGGGTCAATTTTATATTGCTCCCATTCTCCTTTTTCACTCCAGGTTTATTCTGCAAGCTTGCCAACTCCAGCATTTTCCAGAGAGCTGCTATTTTTGTGATGAGTATATGCGGAGCTAGGTAGGGAAAATATTGATTATTGTAGGCTACATCCACCTACAGGGTGTAGGGTTTTTAGCTAGTGGTTTTTCACATATCGCTAACACTTGCCAAGCACATGCACTGATCCCTAGTTGTCCGCATACCTGAAGGGAGAATTTCAGCGCATATGCTTGAATGTTGAAGGTATACTTTCTGGATGAGACATAGACATAACTGGTGGTTGAAGACTTCCTTCCTTCCTTCTTCTCTTCTCCAGTTCCCCTCAGCAATATATCACAGCTTCTATAGCCTACATATAGTAGGGGTATTTAAAATGAGAGTCGTCATAGCGTCCTCTTTTTTTGCTCTTCAAAATATGGCAACCCTAGGAGGTATCCATACCTCCATTTTAAGTATAAGAGATGAATCAGTAACATGAGGGATTTCCTCAGTAACGTGGGATTTCCTTTCGGTCAGCAGCCTGCTAACCAATTACCGTTTTGCATCACTTGGAGCATTTTCCACATTAAAAAAACAAACATGATTCAATTGCATTTGCTAGAATTTCAATTGGGGAAACAGCAGGATAGAAGCAGAATGGATGCTCAGTAACAATCCATTCTGTGGAAAACACTGCAGAGCCTTGCTTTCCCCATTCCTCCACTAGTTCGCTGACTAATTTTAACACCCACATAGAAAAGGCCTTTTGGTGTCCAGCTCCTTGTGCTTTTGAGTAGTTTTTTGTGTGTTTGAGCTATAGCTGACTTCATTTGCCCACCCAGCCTTATTTTATTTTTTTTGGCCATGGTCACATCAGTGTGAGATGCGGCTATCACTGATCTCTCATTTAGATATGCTAGTCTTTCCTCCCTTTGCCAGTCCAAAGCTTGGAGATAATCCATGGTAAAGTTCTGCTGCTCGTGCCATTAAAATGAGTGCTTTTATGCAGTTTCCGTTCATTTCAATGGAGCATGCTGAAGAACTTCCCAGTGAGTTGTGCCTCCTATTAGTATGAATTTGGAATGATTAGAGAGATGTTCCAGTTAGATGACCTTTGTGGGATTTTTGTACTGCAGTGAAGGCTCCCCACCCCACTGCTTCAGATCAAATTCTGTACAGGCAGAATAAAGTGAAGTGAGGTGTGTCAAAAGAACACTGTGTATATTGACCCCAGATGTGTAAATTGCTGTGCACTTTTACTCAACAATGTTGTTACTATACATATATTTTCTTGAAATTTTATGCCTTTATTAAACTATTTTTATACAAGGATTGATTATTTTTGCTTTCTCTGAACAGTAGTAGACTTTCTGTCTGGGTTTTGTTTCTCAAGGAATTTTGTTAATACAAAGAAGGGCCACAAGTAGATGGCTCCTGAGTTTCAGGAAAAAATGGTGAGAGAACATTAGACTAAAATGAGCTGGCTAATTTCTAGGGCTGCTTCTCCAATTCTTTGCACCCATCCTGAAAAAGTTATAAATATTGGACTGCATCAAGCTCCATTCTACTGGAACTCGACCCACTGAAATTGATGCATGTATGTTAGTCATGTCCATTAATTTCAGCGGGTTTCTGCTGAGTATGACTAACATTGGGCACAACCCATTAAACTTAGCACATGCCTCTATATCATAATAACTAAAATACAAAGCGCACGTTTCATTCAACAATTTGTTAAATGTATGCTTAACAGCACGTAGACTAAATTTCAGAAAGCGTAAAGAGGAAAGGGTTTCTGTTGCTGCTCTCCAAATTTCACAATGGTTATATTTACAGTGTCTTTTTATATGTATGTAACTTGGCCAATAGTAAGGGACCACATACTTCTTAAGCACTCAGTGGTGTGCATTTTTTAGGTTGCGAATTTCCAGAATCTTCCAAATGTAATTCTAATCCATTGGCAGACTCTGAATACCATGGGAAGTTCATGAGGATGGTTTCTGTCAGGGTAGACAACATTGAGCTAGGTAGAGCAATGGTCAGTCTCAGTATAAGACAGCTTCCTAGATTCCTAACTGATGGAACCGACTGCAACAAGGTGTGGTGATACTAATTTAGGAAGTTCCTGCTGGGGTTGGGCTAGATGACCCTTGGGGTCCCTTCCTACTATTCTCTGATTCTGTGAGGACTTAAAAGGGGATTGTAGATAAAGAAGGGAAATGTTTCTAGCCGTGGTGGCAATATGAAACCTCCAGGTTCTGAGGCCACAGACCTCTCCATGTCAGTGCTGGGAATTGAACCTGGGATCTTCTTCAGCTGAATCAGTTGCTCTTGCCACTGAGCTGTGAGCTGTTGCGCACCCTTCTGTGGGTAAACAATACTCGGACAACCTGAGTTTCTTGATAAAGAGACACTAAAAATCCTGCTATGGCTGCTCCCTCATTCTATCCTTTATGAACACTGTTCCGTGACTGCTAAGAAACAGCCCTTTGCCTCGATAAACAAAGAGCAGCATGTATGATTCTGCTCCCAGTTTGATTACCCTATATTTATAACTCGCCTCATTTTCCATGGAGGCCTACAAGAGGCTGGGCTCTGATAAGCTGTCGTTCTCGGCGCAGAAACAGCCCCAGAATAGTTCCAGTGTGTTGTTTCTAATTGCAACGGATGAGCAGACTGGCTCATTAATCCTCCCCTATCAGCAGTGCATAACTTGTCTGCACCAGAATAGCCCTGATCTCAGGAATCCTGCATTTCAGCCTTGGGCTTGTGTGTTCAACGTATTTGGGAAAGGCAAGTTTCCACCACAGGCCCAAGGGGACTTCTACTTGACTGAGCTGGCTTTATATATAGTCGAGGCCGCGCATCACCCACCGAGGTTTATGTCATTTCGTAAGAAAATACATCGGTGCTCTTTAAGTTGGCATTATTTAGAGGAATCTTTTCCAACCACATTATTTAGCAGATGTCTTTTATTTTTCTTTCTTTTGGAACACGATAGCAAACCATGCTCTGGGTTTGAAAGGGGAAAGCCGAAATATTTTATTTTTTTCTCCTCTTCTCCCCACACTCCTTCCACTATAGAAGATTTAACCACCTAAATATCTGCTGATTTACAAGTTCACTTTTTATTTTTTTATTTGTATTAATCTTTTCGAGATGGAATGCTGGTCAAATGGGTATTGCAGTCTTTGCTGCAGTTACTGGACCAATACCTTTTAATGTGCAGGGAGCAAATTTCATGCCTCTCTTGTAGAGAAGGCTCCTAGAATTGGACTGCTCCTATAGACAGTCTAGAATAGCAGCAGAGAATTCAAGGCAGGATGCATTGATTTAAATTAGGGATTGGGAACCCATTATATTATATTATTTACTTGCACATTTATATCTGGCTTTCTCCCCAAGGAGCACAAGGGGCCACCCATGGTTCTCCCCCCTCACCATTTTATCCTCACGACAACCCTGTGAGGGTAAGTTAGGCTAAGAGACAGTGACTGGCCCAAGGTCACCGGCTCAGTGGGGATTTGAACCCTGGCTTTCCAGCAATGCTGCAACCATGGCAACAGCATATGACTTTTGTGTCCCTATGTCTCTCAGCAGCTGGGGGAAGAAGCCCAGAGGGAGAGAAATAGAGGGGAATGCAATAAAATGAAAGAAAATAAATAAAATAAAATAAAATAAAAGTGTGTGTGCAAGGCAAAAAGGGTGGAGCAGTGGCAGCAGGTGGAGAGAGAAGGTGGTGAAACATACGGTACATTGATAATGTTGTCTATAAGAATAAAAGAAAATTATTATGAATTAGTTTGGAGATGGTATTTAACACCAGTCAGATTAAATCAAATAAATAAGGAATATTCGGTGTTATGTTGGAGGAGATACCAGGAAACGGGGAATTATGTTCACATGTGGTGGGGGTGTAAATATGTACAATTTTTCTGGCAAAGGGTGCTTAAGGAGATAACAGAAATCACTGGGTTAAAGCTGACTGAAAGTCCGGAGGTAGCATTATTATCAATTTACGATGGGGTGGAAGCTTCGCAGGCTATAGACTTGCCTACAAATTTATTGACAGCTACACATGTTGTTATAACTAGGAAGTGGAAGGGGAAAGCAGAATATAAAATGAAAGAATGGTATAAAGAAGTGTGGGATATAGCTATTAATGATAAATTAATATGCTATTAAGGTAAGACGGGGAATATGCAGGAGAAATGATTTTGAGGAGATATGGAGGGTGTTTGTAGAATTTGTACTGTTAAAACAGAAAAGAGACAAACTGTCACAAGAGGTGTTGAAATTTTGGGAGGTTGGATAGTTACAATAGAATGGTCTTATTCATTTATTATTATTACTTTGTCAAAATAAAAAAAAATTAAGAAAGAAAGAAAAGAATGAGAGAACCATGGGAGTGGCTCACCTCAGCATACAGACCCTGACCACATTCACCCTAGACATTTAAAGCACTACAATACCATGTCGACTAGTTTCGGCTGCATTACAGATCTGAATCTAATAGTCTTGTTGCGGCCCTGTTAGCTGAATGCCAATCATCAGGAGGGTTAAGAGGGATTGAGAACAAAATTAAACCGATAGGAATCTCACTAGACTCCCTGGACTAGTTATCAGAAAAGGCTGCATTTGAGATCATTAAACGTAGATTGTTAGACAACGAATTTCAAGAAATTAGTAGCCAAATCAGGAATAGTGACTGTGCATGTCTGGGAATGGTGCGATGTGAATAGCCAACAGCGACTTATCTCTCCCATTTGACCAACCCGAATCAACACAGGGCGTACATGCCAGCGAGACTGAATGCGCTACCTTCAGCAATGCTAGAGGGAGGAGTCCAGAAAATACTCCTCACAGAAAGACTATGCCCCTGTGGACTGAATGGTATAGAACCAGTCATGCATGTTCTTTTGCACTACCTCTTGTATCACACAATTTGAACTATGTTCATTAATCAGTTAGTTGTTAGCAGACAGTGGCTCTCAGACAAATGTAAGGTAACCTTCCTAATGGATGGGTTCCTCAAGATGGGGATAAGATGGAGATAGTAGCCAGGTTTCTGTAACACGCAATGAGGATTCATGAATATTATACAGCAGTGTTTTAACTGTTAGGTGTAGATTTTGCTGAGCGGTTTTACTGTATTGAACCTTTCGGAGTTTTGATTATATGCCAATGAAGGTTTGAGATGGATGGATTGCCTAGTCATGGGTCTTCCCCCAACCGCATCAAAGGAACCTGAGTCTGTTAAGGGTGCTGAGAGTTGTTAAGAGATGCCCTACCAGAGCTACAGTTCCCAGAGTTCCCTGAAAAGAAACATTACTAGCTCTCAAGGCAGAGCAAAGCCATCATTCCCAGTAGCCACTGAGAGCCCTCTCCTCCATGAACTTGTCCAATCCTCTTTTAACAGATTTTAAAGCTTTTTACAGCTCCTGTGGATCTGCTCCTGTTTGCCAGTGTCCATGAAATGTACCAGGAACAAGGAGAGTCCTAGTAAATGCAGTGGGAGCTAGGGAAGCTGGGGCCATCAAATATTGAAGATCCTTTCCCTATTTAGAGGAGAAATAAATAATTGAGCGCACACTTGAATTATGAAAAGAATCCATTGTTGCTAATAAATAAATCACGTAACGCCCCTCTGAAGTGTTGGGTTGGCTGTAGCTCAGGGCTGTGCGCATTCCATGTGTTCAAAGAGATGGCCGTGGAAAGGCAGAGTCAGGCATCAGAGAGAGAGAGAGAGAGAGCAAAAGAAGACATATATTTGCATACAATTTGCACATGCTAGTTTAGACATCATGGCTGTTATTTTAAACCAAAATAGAATGCATCTTCCCCATGGTTGGCAAGACTGTGGCCAGGTGACATCTTGTGTACCTGCTCATTCTGCCGCCTGGGTCCTAAAGACCCCCTTCTCTCCCTTCTTTTAATAGAGGGTCCCTTTAGTGAGAGGAAAACAGGACACATGACACAAAATTAGATGTTGTTTTGTCAGAAAGCAAAAGAAGCACGTGAGAACCGCAAACTCACATTCCAATTCCGAGCAGCACTGAATAGGTCAGAAGGCGAGGCCCACTATCACGTTACTTCAATGGCAGCCCCTCCAGGAACTCTGTCCACATTTACACACTACATTTAAAGCACTATGATGCCGCTTTAAACACCCATGGCTTCCCCCCAAAGAATTCTGGGAGCTAGGCTCTTGACAGTTGTCAGGAGACCCCTATTCCCCCTCCCCCACAGGACTACAATTCCCAGAGTTCCCAGATTGTTAAACCACTCTGGGAATTGATTATATTCCTACATCGTTTCACCTCCTTGGTGT